AGACGCAGGCGGCAGCAAATTCGCCACAGATGCACTCGTGGCTCAGTGGTAGTAGCGTCGCACTTGTAATGCGAAGGTCATGGGTTCAATCCCCATCGGGTGCATGTGTCTTCTTCACCTTATTTTTGTGTTTTTGTCTCTGTAGCAGTGACATCTACCAACCTTCCGCCTCATGTCGAACCTTCTTCTCCTACCTAAAGATGGTATCACCCACCGTTAATTTTGCATCATACCCACGTGGTCGAACTGGGTTGCACACCCGGAAGTAAACCCAAACCACACCTCGGCTGATCTATATACGTATTCTGACCCGTATCAAATACCAAACGAGTATACCAGACTGCTGGACCCATGGATGGATGGTCTCAAGCAGCTGGCATGAGAGGTAGACCGCGGACCCCCCCCCCAACCTTTGCACCCCCTTTGCGCCCCATAAAGACCACCTGTAACCTATTTACATCTCATCATCATCACCTTGGATAGAAATAACACTTTCATCTCGAAGTTGAATGGCACCGCCCTACGCCCCCATCGCCCTTGGCCTCGTGATATAAATTGTCTGCAGGCCTCACAGCTGTACCTCATCCCACCCACCACACTGAAGTAGATAGGAATAACCGAGACTTAAGGCATATATTGTACATACACATACAAACCGTCCTACACAATTCCCCGCACGGAAACCAGGGGGTTGATTTCTAGATATCACGGAGGCTTATTCACGTCAAGAAGAGAAGGTGGGTATGCTTTACTTGGAATTGCCAACCAAGAGGCAGAATGAAGCTACAGGGTGGCTCTATGTAGTCTCGTGGCCAAGGACAACAGATAAGGTGCCCGCCAACATACGCATTCGCTGCAGGGTAGCTTCTTAACCACGGACACAGTCTTCTCGGACATGGACATCGAGAGGTGGGGGGAGAGGAATCAAACCACCTGTAGGAAGGTACTCTAACGGTTCTCACACGAACAAGACTACCTCATCTGAAAGCCAGGTGACAAATGTGTAGATATTGAATCCTCTTCTAGGTCTACTAGACCCCTTGGATGTATGTATCTCTGGTTCATCAAGTTCTACTAGATAGACCACATCTGTAACCTCAATACGGGTATCCAGGGTTCCGAAACTGCCAACCTTTCATCAGGAGGCAGTGATGAAAGTCGTCAATAGTGATTGACCATAAACTGACGCCAAAATATAGTTATCTAATAGCTATCACACGTACGCTAAGATACACATCCACAAACACAAGGGGAATCTAAGCCAGCAGCCAAAATCTAAAGAAAGACCAAGGTCGAAGAAAAAGGTAACCTCCGCGCCAACACGTCGAGCCGTGGTATGTCTGGTCCAATCAATTATTACAGTATATTCATAAAACTCATAAATATCGAGTCAAGAAGTCCCGGCGAAATGAAGTCTCCTTGACTATAACGCCGTCCAACTCGGCAGGTATGCCTTGTAGGGAAAGGTCGCTCTTAAAGTCCGTGTGTAGAGACAGCATGGTCTCTAATGAGAATGGAGCGGGGATCTACTGATGTCTGGGCTTCAGCCCGTCGCGCCACTTCAGATCGCACATAATATGTGATGCCTTCTGGTGAGAGGAAACTGGGAGTCGGTTGCAGTCACATAATGCCTCATGGTACGCCAGGGACACCGGGAATGGCAGCCATTGGGCCTTTGTTGTTCCTGTCCATCGTGCTCAGCATGTCCGCGAGCCAGTCGTTATCCTCAACCAGGGGAAAGGTATCTGACACCGACAGGGCATCTGGGGGCTCCGAGAGCGTTGGAACTGACAGCGATGGAATCGAATTCGCCACGTGTGAGCCCAACGGAGTGGGATCCAGCTTGGTCTCCCAACCCATGCGCACGGCCTGATACGTCTTGGCGATGTTTGAGAAGATGTCGCCACCGGGATCACCATCAATACCGTTGAGAGACGCCACTTGGCTCATGTTGGAAATCACCATGTTCATGATCTGTATGATATCTGCCGTTCGGCGGACATTGGTTGTATCCCAAACGGAGTTGTCCAAGGTCGTCAATTGGTAGAGTGTCACAAGGTTCTGCACCATTTGCGAGAAGATAGCGAACGGAAACCCAATATACTCCGCCGGTGGAATGCTCAGGAACACGTCGAACCATGACTTGGTAGCCTCAAGGCAGCCATAAAGATAGTCGAGATGCTCGTAGCTCACGTTTGTGATGGAGGCAATGGCACCTTTCGTAAGTGCGGACTCGTAAAGGCTTAATGAGGTGTTGTAGTGATGCAATAGAAGAATTTCTGGATCATATTAGTCAGTGACTGATTTCAAGATCAAAGATTCACCGGCCACTGACTGTATCCCTGTGAGTTGGGTCGGACTCTGCTCATAATTCCTTGAAGTTGAGTCTGAAGCTGAGCTTGCATCGGCCGGATGTATACAGCAGGCGACGGTCGCATCGACTCGCGGGACGTAGAAGACGCGCCGTAAAAGCCTCCCAAGCTTAGCTTGTCATTGATCAGTTGAAGTCGAACTTGCTGAACGAGTATCTCATCGTTGATGCTTTCCTGCTGCTCTTCGAGTAGACGAAGACACTCGTCCATGTAGGATGTCCAGCGCAGAGAGTCGCTTTGTTGCAGGAAGGTAGCAATACTAGATTTGATGTTAGGATCCAGCGTCGACAATAGAAAGGGCGATGGCATTACATTGAAGTGAGCAAGAAGCATCCCAGAACAGCCCGGCGTTGTTCCATGATCTGACTGGGAGGTGCTGCACGGTCTTCGTGTGCTTCCGTGTGCACACACAAGAGGACGTGCTTTCCCTTCGCTTCGGGATTGAAGAGGCCCATCTCATAGACAATGCCGTTCGCGAGCTGAGTGAATACATGCACGTTGGCTTTATTGTAAACTTGCTGATTGGACCTGAGCCGATCGAGGTCAGCCACCCATAAACCCGGCCTGAGGCGGGGTCCCTTACCATCCGAGATAGATCAAGAGTCCCTGAAGGATATCAAGGTCACGACACGAGTACTCATGCACCAGCTTCTGTGACACAATGTGCTTAATTCGATCGAAGAGCGGACGACTTTGCGCGCTGCTCCGTGACGTGACAGCCATGATGCATAGCCACGAAAATGGGCGGTCTCGCCGAAGCTTCTGCGACGTGGTGCCTGGAGGGATATACATGCATGGGAAATACGGAAGCATTTGAGTTTGAAAGAAGGTGAGCAGTTCCTCTGCTTGCAAGCCCGACGGTTCCATCGCGTTCAGTGACGATGCGCCCGAAGATAACGAACCCCCGCTGTCCGAAATGCTGGTGTCCGGGGTGGAAGCGGAACCAGTGTTGCGGCTGGCGTAGACTGGGCTGGGTCCGGAGCTGCTGCCCCCCATGGGGACGTCTGACATGTTGGGAGGGGATGCGGCATTGCTGTTTGACGAGTTCTGGTTGTCCGGCAGCTGTCCGAGCAGACCGAGCATGGTCGTGGTCGTGACATTATTCGGTTGGACTCCCGCGCGCAGCAGCGAGACCAAATCCTCCAATTTGTCTTCCAGGCGAGAGATCTTGGCCGAGCCTTTGGAAGAGGTAGCCGACCTGCGTGTGGTTGAACGTCGACTGGCAGCGGATTGGCGACATTCTTTATCTAAGCGTTGGCATCTGAGGGAAAGGGGATGGTTAATACCACCACCTTTTAAATAGATGCATGCATGCGGATTAATTAAGCTGACCTCTGGCAACGACCGCCTGCCTTTGGATAGAGACACTTGCACTTGGCTTGAGAGCAGTTAAAGCAAGAGCGACCGTAGGGAGCAGGGTAGGTGTCTTCCTGAGGCGACTCGTGATCTACGGCGATAGGGACGGGGTCGGCCACAGCCTCGCCATTTATACTGTTAGTTGTCGAGGCCATTTGACCGGTTGAGTGGCGGGGTTTTTTTTTCTTTTTTTTCGCCCGATGGATTCCTTCACACAGTACACAAAAAAAATAAGAAGATCAAATCACAGTATCTAGTAAGAAGAGAGGAAAGGAAAGGGTGATGCTGATCGTCAAGAAGACATCGAGAAGGAGGAGTTTGGTGAAAGGGAAAGAAAGTAGTGTGAGGTAGGTGGTGGAGGTGGTGAGATTGCGGGCGACTTTCCAGGCGGCCGACTAAACCACAGTTAGGCTAGGCCACTAGCCGGGAGGGAGCGAGGAGGGAACAACTTGGAAAGGAAGCCAGCCATGCCAGTGCCAGTGCCCACCTCTGGGCAGCAGCCGCTTAACCACTCGGAGTTTGCCAACTCCGAACTAGTTCTAGCGTCTGTCTTACTTCCAGGCGAATTCATCTTGTCAGCACTAGACTCATGGAATCCATGGAATGTCCTAAACCATATCTATTTACTGCATCCATAGGGCATACGATGTCAATCGAAGACAGCGTGTATTTCCCCCTCTCACAAGCATGCGATGGTTAATCAGACTACTGGCGGTAAAAGCCGGGGCTTTCCTCCACGGCTACTCAGGGACCCTACATAGCAGAAGCCACATGGCTCAATAAAGCAGCAACACTCCTTGAACATTGTCTCAACCCAAGACTTGCTGCCCCGCCGGTATATGCAGCGATTGTGTGGTCAATATGGTAGGAGGACGCTCGATCAGATGGTGGCCAAGTCGAGATCGATGTAGGAAGGATCAGTCGCTCCATGCCAGCCTTACTTCGGGTGAGCGAGTCACGCATCAGCCCCTCTGTCTTGAGGTATCCGTGAATGGTAAAGGATTTGTAGATCAATAACCTGGAGAAAGGCGCGATTCCGCTATACCGTAATGGAAGGCCAATTGTCTTCCTAGAGTGAGACGTTGTCAGCATGTCAAACTGTAGTGGAGGTCGACTTCCGCATGGCACGGCTATCATTATCACGAGACCTCCCCGGATCACGGAATCAGCTTGACTAGAGCTGAGTGAGCAACTGCATTTTCATGATCCATCCCCAATTCTGGGTGGGTGGGTAGACCATTTCCTGAAGAGCTGCACGATAAGGAGGGGGAGGGGGGAATGGTGGGGGTATACTGAATTGTAAACGTCACAGTGGGCCGCCCCATGCACCACAACTTACACTAGACGGTAGTTGATACATCTGTGCTTTCCCATATAGTGTGCGTTGTACTGTACAGTATTCCGTACCCCCTCGCTGGCAGTCCTTAATGTCGGCCGAAGGGGCCGTTCGGGAACTCCACACGTGGAATTGTTGGACCATGTGCGTTCTTCGTTGGAAGTCTCGGAGTTGGCTCGGGCTGAATTAAGAATCGTTTTCCAGGATGACCTAGTGATAACTGACCCTGGCAGCTAGCTTGCATCGGCAACGACTTGCTACGAAGGCGGGGCTAGTTAGTCTAAGTTGCAGAAAGGATGAAGGGGTTGCGATACCTTGTCGATCTCCTCAAGCTGGCAGCGTCTGCTGCTCCAATCACGGCTACTATATAGTTCAGTGGATGTGAGTGAACAGGAACTGCCATCGATGAAACGGAGGCAATGTCATCAATCAGTCAGTTAATCAATCAGCCAAGGGATATTTATGATTTCGTGGTAAATGAACAATCTTGTTGACACTCCATGATAACAGCCTATCCACTGGTGCACCGCCAAGCCGAGTCTTTCAACAATCCGACATCAGCCTCATTGCCACAGTGAATTAGCGTTGATGACTGTATCGACAAGCCATCCATGCGCAGGATGAAAGGACGAAAGGATGAAGAGACGAAAAGGATGAAAGGGTGAACAGAAGGTCCCCAAAGCAGAAGCAAGGCAGCCCGATGGGACAGGGATCGGCGGAAATACGAGCAAAGTCCCCATTGCCAAGCATGGGTCGGAGTCGGAGGATTCACAACCTCGAATATGAGACGTAAAGATAGGACGGTCAGGGAGGGGATTCGGGAACACCGATTGAGATCTAGAACCAGAGCACGTGCTGGGTCGGGCTGCCTCACTGGTACAACTTTGTAAGGGAGGCAAGTAAGCCTGCCCAGTGGAAGATGCACACTCCACGGGCCGATTTCACTGACGCGGAAGAAAACTCACACACATATTGTTCTATCGGCCGTTGTCCCGAGGGCGGAAGCAGCTCACGATCGTCTCATGCTGTACATCTTGGAACCGAACCTTCATCTTATTCATACGCAAGAGAGTCAAGTCACGCCCTCATAGACCGCTAGTAGTGAAACTTCCGTGGTAGTTGAAACACGTGTAGAGACTTCCACTTTTCTCCTACCTCACAATGCCCCATCGTAGGAGGGAATGAAAGAGGGAACGACAATCGGTTACCTAGTACAATCTGCGGACCACCGGAAGGGCATTGCTATTTTCCTTCATTCGTACCCCACGCGCCAACTGATCCACCTTGAAAGTTGTTGAGACAGCAGTGTCCACAGTTTAAAGTCCTATCAAACCTCTTATTGGCCCGTTCGCTAATTCTAATTTCTTTGCAGACTACCTTACTGTAAATCCGAGTACTATACTAAGTACGTAGTTCTTCATGTACGTACTACTTACTAAGATAGCGTGGATTTATGCACGCTGCGATGCTTAGGTTGCCGCTGCGACCGACTTACCTTATCGGGATAATTCTATGGCGCCCGCAAGACGCAGGATCTCCACCGCCAGGACCGTTAACCAGAAATCGAAGATCTGGCTCTTTTGACTGGCATGGTATACCAGCCATCAAGCACGAGTCCTCATCTCTATCGCACAGCGACACAAATCTGAATGGAAGTCGCACAGGGCCGGATCGGGCCGAACCTTTGTCACGGTGATCGGCAAACTGGCATCAAGATTCAAGAGCCCCGCCAGCGACACCTAGAATGTTGAGGTGACACTGCGCAAGTTGTGGGTATAATGACGCAGAAAAGCCTGTGCTCGCTTCCGGATACGAGATTGCAGCAGGCTGGGACTGAAGCGAATTCCGATTCCTTCCGACCATCACAGCTTTGGCGAGAGAGAGGGTCGCAATGGTGTAAAAAGGTTGAGCATTTCATCTTAGGACAATTAGGAAGAGCGGGATCCTCAATGAATGAACATCAAATAGGCCGTTTTCATACAGAGAGACATGACAACCAGGACATGGCTGACTGTCGCCATTCGTAGGTTCTGCGATTGGTGCATTCTTTCTTCCGCCAACAACTGAACCTCTGGGCCAGACTTAGTGAGTGTGCGAGATAAAGTCCAAGGAGGATCCAGAAGTCTAATTTCGCTTAATCTTACCAACTGTAGTGCAATCCTCACCCCCTTCCAAAATTAGCTGTCAGCGGTGCGCGAATCTTGTTAGGCATTACTGGATCGCCACAAGGTTAGGTCTTACGCATATGGTGACAGATCAACGGCTGCTTACCCTGTGCACTTATCGTTCTCTTGCGGCTAGTCTGGAATCTCGTACTTAACAAATTAGATTAGAGCTCTGATTAACCTTCGAGGCTAGTGGGCAACGTGCGTGGTTTAGTCTCGTAGTGGCTTGATCTCGCCCCAATAAAGGCCAGCAGCGCAAATTGAATCTTGACACGCGGAGGCTGACGAATACCACCTTAATATCGCTAAAGCTGGAAGGAAGAGAACCTTCCCGGTCGCTTGTGCACAAAAGACCTCAGGAAAGATGAGGGAGGCGCTTGCGGTTGTAACCTTGCACGGAGGGTTGATTTGTGGTTTCCGGAAACCATAGTTAATTGACTACCTACCTACTACTAATCAGCCCATTTACCCGGGCTATTTACCCGCAACGGTTCGATGCCTGGCCAGGCTGGAATGGTCGTGGCTCAATTTAACTCCGTCGGTCTGTCCCGACGCTCCAGTGGACAACAGTAGCCAGTAGTAGACTCAGTACTAGGTACCTAGTTGCAATGCTAGCATTTTTAGAGGTTAATCACTTTATCGTATGGCCGGGCCCACTTTCCGACAAGACACTAGCCAACACTGACAGGCAGTGTGTGATAGTTAGCACTACGGGCCAACGAGGGTGGATTTGGCACTTGACTTATACGCACAATCGTAATCACAGTCAGAAAGCACATTGCAACCTAGCATCTTGAGCAGTCACTTTAGCGAATCTACAGCAAAGCTTAAGTCGCGACCGACATGCTCGACCCCCATGCGTGAGTGGTTGCGTTCTCGTGTCTTCCCAACGACATGAGCACAAGGCATGCCTGTCTGTGCTCGCTCGCCCTGGACGTAGAACATTCTAGTTGTTCTAGGCAGTCAATACCTGTCCCGGCACAATCTATAGCACATGGAATTATGCGTAACGTGACATTGACAAATTGGCCTATAGTAGTCAGCCACATAGACTAGGATTTCTTGGGTTGCGTACGCCAACACAGCCTCCCCGTAAGCACTAACGCTCAATTAGTATACGTTCTCTTGCTGTTTCGAGGGATGCTTACCGAAGAGTGTTTCACCGTGTAGAGCCTCACCTGAAGGCTGCAGGATTTCGTGGACCAATATCCGTATGTGGAACCGACTTAGGGCTTTAGAGTCGAATGGTCGCTGTAGGCAGCCCCGCACCGCGTAACAAGTTGGAAATTTGCGTTATTAAGTCGCAGAGAACGGCCTATCAGTGATTTCCTCGAGGAGAAGCACTGACCGCTCAGCAAGTTTACCCATAGAGTGGGTCGGCATGTGTTTTCTCGGGACTGCTACCGTGAAGACTTGGCCTGGACATCTATATCCGAGCATGAGGGTCAGACCCAGGGATGCCATTGCTCCGTGCAGTCACGACGGCGATTAAATCTCCGCAAAAACACATTTGTCTGCTAGAAGCCTCAAGTGAAGTGCACGAGTGAACGAACCTCCTCACGAGTAGAGAGGCTGTTCTTCATCCGGGCAACTTCCGTACAAAACTTGGAAAGGAAGAGCGGGAGGCGCCAGGAGGCCCGGCCCTTTCAAGCCTTCAAGCCACCAATGCTCCACGGAGAAGTGTGCAAAGCCGCGACAATTTGTTCATTCGCCAAGTCCAAATGCCAAGATCGCATATTAAGCCCCCTTCGAGTGAGTGCATGCAACAAGTGACGCTTTTCCCTTCGCGGAATCTTTAGCTTATCGCTTCATATGTTCGGGTCTTATCAAGTTTAGTGCTCAACCTAGCCGGGTTGTCGGAACGCCGAGATGAAAAACTGCACCTCACAGCAATTTTTCGTCATATACAAACCTTTAGACTTTCAACCTACTTGCATCTGCCTCGTAATATGCAACGGTGTTGTCGACTGCAGAAGCAAGAAGGTCGTGCTGGTATGCTGCGCAGCATGTCACTCAAACCCTAAAGTCACCTCAATCGCAACGCCCCTGTGCCTTTGTAAGTATGCAAACCAGCACCACACCACATTGCTCATACGAGAAACAAATCAAACGCCACTTATGCACGTGAATCAGTAGAGATTCTCGCTCCATACCGGCAAAAGACCCCCCTCTCTCTCTCGATAAAGGGAGGATTTAGCCGTGAGAGTGTGAGTTCTGGGTGGGCTACTAACCTTCAGTCTCGTGGGCTGTGACACGACAACGGGGTCGACTAGAGACTCAGTGGCCTAATCAATTGGAACGGACGGACAAACCGGCCCGCCGAAAAATCGATTTCCGGCAGCCGAGGAGGAAGATAGAAGGTGGGAGTCGGAGTCGGAGCCATCGCATCGTCCGTGATGTTGTTGGACGACGATCTTGGCGCATGAATCCTTCCCGCTTGGCGTCACGCCTGTCAGAAACACCATACCACTTTGCCATTCTGTCAAGCGTTTTTTAAAGAGGCAAGCCAACACGCAAAGGTACGGCGTCTCTTACCGAGCGCCTCACTTGGCAATTCTTACTGGGAGCCTTGGCTTTTAGGGTCTTTGGTCGTCAGCTCGTGAAACCCGAGCAACAAACGTTCAAATACTGCTTGCTTGCTTGCTCACTGAGCGGGCTGACCGAATACACTCCCCGCGGTGGAGAGGGAAACAATCAGACAACTGCAACGCAGCAGCAAGCGGCTTCCCAGGGAACTACGTACTCCCCGCCATGAGCCATGATTCAGGGAAAGGATTGCCCCAGAATGGTTTCCAGGAATCTTTAGTCAGAACCTACTAAGACATATTTGGCGGGTTGTTATTGGAGCCCCAATCGTTTCGCAGGACCTGCCGAATCAATGCTAGCCCGGTATCGTGAGGCCAACACCATCCGAGCTGGTGATTCGGCGATCTCCGCTTGCTCCGATCCTAATCTGCACAGACCCTTATTTCTGGCTTTTCGAGCCGAGGAGGCTCGAATTGGGTGACATTGCAGACCCAGTAATAAAGGAAAGTTGCGAAAGGAAGGTTGGGGCAAAGGCAGGTTATCCGGGATCAGGAAGAGGTCTCTGTCGATCATCGCTGTTATACCAGTGGTAAACGTGGGATCGGGATTTCTGCGTGCCCGGACAGATCGTCCAGGACCTCTTGAACCCATCAGTCATTGTCAGCCATGTGTCCATGCGAAGAGAAAAATAGAACTCGGAAAATTATGAGAATATTATCACAATGACAATAGAAAAAGGAAAAGAGCGCACCTTCGAAAAGCTAATTACTTACTACATGGCTATAGACTAATTGGCTAAGTCAGTGGAGACACACCATGTGGCTATGACTGCCGGCGTATGCCCATGACTGGATTTCAATCGTTCTAGACCGGAGGGGAAACCTCCATTGCAGCTTTGACTCGAGAAAAATGGAGAAACAGACAACGAGAGAAGCAAAAAGGGAAGAAAATCAAAATCTCATGCGAAACGTTATGGAGGAGGAAAGTGGGGTGGAAAGTGGGGGATCACTTCATGCCAACTATTTTCCCCTGAGGATTTTTGCAAGAGCGATTTTGGTCCTTATCTCGAATATTCGTGCTAAGAGCTTCAAGAATCTTTGCAATTCTCAACTCGGGCAAATTTTCGCGTCGTAAGCATAGTCTAGCAAGGTTGCCTGCTCATAGACAAACCAAAAACCGCAGCTCCGTCAAATGTCCGGTATCAAATGCCGCCAGATATGTTGCCGCCAATACCACCAGATTAAAATGTATTCTGTATGACACTCACTGCCAGGATGAATATTGGTCGTGATAGTGACGGGCTGGGATTGGACTTTGTCGAAGTGGCTGCTACTTTGCGATGTTTCAGATGAGAATGTGTCCCTAGCATGGGTGGGCACGGAGGGTATTGTGGTCCCGAGCTTCAGATAGTGTCTGGTAGTGTCGAGCTAGGGGCTAGGGCCAGGTGAGGGGCAAGGCTTTGTTTGTCGTCGGGTTGCAGCGATCAATGGGTGAAGAATTCGCACTCATTCCAGTTTGATCTGGCATGATCCTGGGACTACCACGTTGCCGTGACTGGGATTATTCGGCCGCACATGGTCTATGCTTCACTGTCAGTGTTCTGCAAGAAAAACAGCGAGCGTTTGCGTATGTGTGCACTCCCGCACGATTGCTGATAAGCGTCCGCACAACAGAAACGACCCTTCATATCGTACTGTAAGCAACAAGTCTGAAGATTCATCGGCATGGTGCTATTCACATGGATGAGAGACTGGAGTTGGGATAAGCATCTTTTGCCCATGCTCTACGGGCTTGGGTGCCTTACCTCCGGCACATCATCATGGCGAACACGATGCTCATAGCGGAGCTAACCTCAAAAGCCTTCTCCCTGTCGCTAAATAATGTCCTTTGATCGAGCGTAGTCGCGTCCGTGGGGACGGAATTCGGACTCTGACGGATTTCGGGACCTGTCAATGCAAGTACTTGGTAGCCAGACCTGCGGCGCTTCCAAGAACTATATAAAGTATTAGAGTATTAGTTCGAATAAGCAGTCACGTTTGCACCAGGTGGATTTTCCAATTGACACACTGGAAGCGGGTTCCAAGTACTCACCATGATGGCAATATTGTATTCACCAAGGAAGCAAGCAACAAGGTGACAAGGAGAGAGAAGGAGATACAGGTCGTCGGGCGGGGGAAGTTTTGGCCCCCATGACAAGGAGTTGAGGCGAAAAGCAACGGTGAATCCTTCTAGCCGGAGAGTGATGGACGGATCATGCAGCTAATGCTAGGCAAGTCTCAACAATCTCCCCGTCTATACGAGAGGGACAGGCATTCGCGGGCATTCGCAGGCATTCGGGCGGCCTCGATATTATCTAAGCCAAGTGCCACTTCCCAATTTGGGCAGACCATACACACACCCCTCTTTCCTCTCAATTAATCATTAATTCATTTTCATTTTCATCCTTTTTCCAATTTTCCGCAACCCCCAGATATTCCTTCAGCTCTATCACAACAGAACCGCCGATAGAGCAGCAACAAACGCAGACCAGGGTCCGGCTTACTTGCGTTGTGAATGCGGCTTCTCCTCGCCCATTAAAGAACGCGTTTCATCCACCACGGCTTCCTATCTTCGAGTTCGAGTTCAGCCGCCATTGCGAAGTCCCACAACACCCTTGTGTTGCTGCAACACCAACATTTGTCTCGTCGTTATCATCTTCTCCATCATTTCGAGATGAACTGGGAGTCATCGACATCCCCCCAATTGCAGCCCGAGTCGGCATCGCAGTCTCCACCCGATCTCCAGCAGCAGAAATCTCCCGTCCTTCGGAAATCCCGACAGAGCCCCGGATCCGCTTGTGAGGAATGTCGTCGTCGCAAATTGCGGTGTGATCGACGCACCCCGAGCTGTGGTGTATGTACCGCAACCGGGGTCATCTGTCACTTTACCGCCACCCGGTCGGAGCGAGGCCCCAAACGGGGTCACTTGAAGCAGCTGCAGCAGCGCATGGGTATGTTTCACCGGATTGACAGCGTCCTTGTCGGTGAACATATGTTGGGTATTCGCAGAGTCTGACCGTGCAGCAGCAGCGCTTGAGGAGCGTCTTCTCCTGGGAAAGGAGCATGGACTATTCCTGCAGGAGCCCGTTCACCACAGCGTCTACAAGGTGCAATCGACCTTAGACAATATCAAGATGGACAAGATTCCATTTTTGCCGTCAGAGGGGATTGAGCCATTGCTAGATTCGCCGCCCACGGAGCCACAACTGCTGATGTCTGTCACGGAGGTTCCGATGTGGATGCGTGAAGAACTGTGAGTCTTCCTGTTCCTTCCTGGTCATTCGGTCCGAAAGTCTAGAGGGAGTCGAGATGACAAGGGGCTCCACCCCAGATTTTGCATGGCCCTTGCTGACCGATCATTGGTAGGGATCAACTATACTTCGATCGGGTGCATGTTTTTGCCCCCATTCTCCATCAAGGCCGGTATATGGAATGGAGTCGCCAGCGGGTCAAGAGTGAGGCAAAGACTGCTCTTCAGTACACCATGTGGACGTTGGCAGCTTCGTTTTCCGGGCAGCTTCAGCACGTAGCCAGCGCCTTTTACCACGAAGCACGATCTCGAGTGGATCTGCAGATGCTCGGGGACAATGTGATCGACACGATAGAGATTGAGAACTTGCAGGCGTGCATTCTGCTGGTGATGCACGAGTCTATAACGTCGTACGATGAACGCGGGTGGCTTCGGGCGGGGTATGCCTTCCGGCTGGTGCAACGGATGCGGCTGTATGAGATTGATGCGCCGTCATCACCCAGGCTCTCTGCCTGTGAAGATTGGGTGGTGGTTGAGGAGCGACGGCGGATGTTTTGGATGGCGTATTGCTTGGACCGATTCCTCAGCATGCGTGATGGTCGACCCTTGACGCTGATTGAGCACCTGGTGCGTCCCTTTCCTGCTTCCTGCAAACACCCACTGACTCGGCGACTAGATATCCACTCGACTCCCCGCCCCGGAAGCGGAGTTTCAAAGTGGACAGCCGGTCGATATGGAGCTTCTCTCCACTGCCATCACCTCGGGCGGGCCGCGCCTGACCTCACCTTTTGCTGAATGTATCATGACGACGACGGTCTGCGGCCGCGCCGTCATCCACCACTACCAAACCAGTCTCGAGAACACTTTCACACACGACTCTTCCAACTTTCACGACCGCCACGAATGGATCCATAACACCATCACGCAGCGAATCAACATCCTCTCTTTCAATACCCCCAAGTTCACTGAAAACAGTGACCCTATGTTTCTTTTCACACGTATTCTAGCGTCGACCACGGCGCTGTACCTCTATCACACTCTCAGTCTCACATCATATGAACTCATTCCGGAGGACGACATGTCGCCGTTCCCGGATTATGGCCATGCTGCGTTGTTGGAAGCGCAGGAGATGGTGCATTTGGCAAATATATTAAACAAAGTCAACTCCTTCAAGGTAAGAATATTAGTTCTTGGTGTCAGCTGTAAATAGGGATGTTGGACTGACATTGCATAGATTCACCCTTTCACACACATTCCACTGAGCCTTTGCGTTGACATTTGCAACACGTATAGAGACCGCGACGGCGCCATTTGCGCTAAGCTCCAGGAGGTCTTCCATACGCTGCGGAACCTCACGTGGGTGAACAGTCTTGGAGAGAAACTTCAACAGGTCCTGGGTGGGCCGATATGACCCACCATAAGTTCGATGGTTTTCTTGGTTGTCGGGAAAAATAGAACCGGACCTGAAGACGCAGAATCTCTCTAGATGGTGGGGTGGCGTATTGAAGTTTTGTTGTTAAGCGTTGCGTCCATGACACGCTAGATCGTTGATTGCGTGTGTGTATCCTGTTGATATGTCGCGGATAGAGTTGTCATTCGAATCCGAATCATAGCATCCAAGCTCTGTTTCATAGCATCAGCCCTCAGAAGTGGAAACCAGTAGGGATACTTATCTCAAATAAACCCCGACCCTCATTCCAAAGAAGGGAGATGATGTCATTCCTTGAAGCGACAATCTATGCTGTGCGGTACTGTCGCCAGAAACCGACCGTCGGATTTCGCGCTGCAGCGCAGCGGCACGAGTCCGCTGCCCACCCCATACTCTCGCTCTATACTTGATACACCCTGATCGACAAGAGAAACAAACAGACCCTCGACCGGTATTTATCCAATCCTCAGCCCCATATCCTGAAAGAAAATAACCCTTTCCTCCGTTCGGCCCGTCACCCATCGACAAGAAGTGTTAGGAAGTAAGAAAAAAAAATATCCGTCGAGTCAAACCAGAGTAAGAAAGTCTCCATTATAGAAAAGAAAAACCCGAAGGAAGGTAGGTACAGTACTACCCACGCAGCCTTGTTACACCGTCCTCCCAGCCAAAAACAAACTGGATTTCCTGTTTGGGGGGGGGGACCGGATTCCGGACTTGGGCGCCAACCCCATGAATCCCGAAATCCGGTGGCGGTGAGTCTTCGGTATTGGGTTAGCGTACTACCCTACCCATACTACTAGGTATACTTTGCCATAGGATTTGGGGATGGTACGGGATTGGGGGTGGGATTGGGTTTTGGTTTACTGGTTTGATTTTCTGGGCCGGGGGGGGGGGGGGGGGGGGGGGGATGGTATGGTTTTGGGTTTGGGGTTTTCATGTGGTGAGTGATAGTACAGCATATTGATATGGGTAACTAGATACTATACATGCCTCTAGAATCGAATGATTTGTGGTTTCTATACTTCGGTAGTTTACTATATATACAGTAGTAAGGGCACCGTCACTCTGACTAAAGTAGTCTTAGTTTGAAAGGGGGATTGAGAGTGGGATTAGGAATGTGGTTTCTGAAATCCGTTCGTCCCTGTGCTTGCACCTGTCTGTCTCTGTCCCCGCCCTCTCTTGGGGTATTGTAGCATGCTCACTTCTGAAACACTGCCTCAGCCACCTGCCTGAACTTCCTGCCTGGCCTACCGTCCCTGCTTAAAGATAAGAACCACCGGAATTTCGAAAGTTGAACCCCGACGAGCAAAGCACAGCCATCTCCCGTCCCTGCCACCCAGGCCATGTCTGATCCTCTCTCTGACTAACGCACCCAGCCTGGATATGCTCTGCAATTGGCTAGAGCATAAGGACAAGGGCGAGGGGGGTTCAACAAGACTTGAAATCCGAAGTCCAATTCCGTGGGTCCTTCGCTGTGTACATAGCATATTCCCTGGGAATGAGGGGAATGCGTGTGGAGAGCCGTGTAGTGCAATGGGACTATTGGGCCAAGGGTAAACACATGGACTGTAGTCTGGAATCCGGGCTGAATCCCGATCAGACGATGTAGAAAAGAGGAATGAGTCTGCCTTGCCCTTGTGGTTTTACTGGGTGGGTGGGCGTATCAGCTGGGTTCGGTCCTAGGCTTTCCGTTCGGGTGATGTTCAGGAGTTACTGGTGCTCGTGAGGAGTTAGTAGTTCGTTTTCTGCGGGGTTGGATGTTTTCTGGAGCTGATGCCGGCTTGTACATGGTGATCAAAGTGAGTGGCTACCTGCTTTGTGGCTTTGGATACTCTCCAGGTCGTTGATCAGCTCGTTCCGGGTGTTGGGAGGAGTCGCAGATCTGAGGATGAGGGTACTGACCGATATTGGCACCGGTGATTAGGGTGCATGAATGGTTCGGCTACATGACATGACTTGATACACACTAACTTTGTAAAGATGGGGTAAAGAGTAGGGTCTCGTAGATCAAGACCTCTACCCTGGGTACAATGACCTAAATGTTAGCCTACATACTAGCCTGCCCTGCAGGGACGGCGCGCAGTAGCCTGTCCCCTCGATCTGAGGCCCGTAGTTCGTAGCGTCGAATTCTACGGACCGAAATCGATCAGCCGAGGTCTCGCGGGGTCAAGTTCGGACCGTAAGGCACCAGGCACGGCCCTTGGGGCTTATTTAGGGGCTAAGGTGGAGTGAGTGGGTGCTGTGGCCAGAGTAGAAGTGGCTCCGTCGTGTCTTGCACGGCTAAGCTTTGAGTCCCTGATGGTAGGGTTAGGGACTGAGTTACGCTAGAGACTTTCCAGAGTGTAGTCTTGAGATCATGAGTATAATCTTATTTTCTAGTTGTTTAGGGCTATTCTCTGAGGAATAGTGCTAACCTTTTTGTTTGGTTATGATAGCATTATGGCATAGTATGTATGTATACACACACACACACACACACATGTATATATATATAGAACTCGCAACGACTGCATATAAGATATAGAATATATACGCAGCGCTACCATAGATGTAAGTTATTGTTCAGATAGTTCTAGAAGAATAAAAGTACAAATAAAAACCGTCCATCTACTTCCTTGCCCATTATAAGCATATAGATATAAGTATTGTCGACGATGAGGCACCTAGTACAGATCCCACTACAAACTATGAGTACATTGTCATATATGATCAGGTGACCGCCACGTGGCTAGGGCTAGGCTGAGCGCTGGTGCTGACAGCCAGGGATTCGTAGACACCTGCCAAACCCGCGATCGCCAGGTTCCCTATCCCAAAGAGAACATGAACATCAAGATCACTCAGATCGATCGACATGCGATGATCACGGGAGAAAGTGCTGCGATTCGACTTAAATCCTGGTATAATTCTTTTGATTACTAACCAGGGTGACTACTAACCAGGGCATCCGTTTTATTTCTCAGAGTGCTCTATAACAGCTAGATTTACTGGAGGTCCCCACAAATGGCAGGCAAAGCTTTAGCTCTAGTAGTAGTAGTCAGCAGGCATTCAGCACAAAATCAACACCGGCAATCCGACCGATATCCTAGAACTAGAGACCAGAGACCAAGCGGGGACGGCGGGGTAAGGGGAGCAAGCAAGAAAGGCGGGATTCACTGTGGAATTCATCGAGCACTGGAATTCCTACCCACGCACCCACGCACCCAGCAACGGAATTAAACGATAACTTCAGAGTCAGAGTCAACCCCGCTGGTGCCGTAGCGTACGCTCCCCAAGATTGTAGTAGCCGCGATGAGACCACGAGGGAACAAACGGCGCGAAACCCGCGGTGGTTTCCGGGCCAGCTCATTGGGTAACGGGATTGGGGAGGAAAGGCCCCAAACCCGCGGCGGGACTTTCCCTCGTGTTTTGGGGAGCCCTAGAGCTTCTTCACTCCCAGTTAGCTTACCTAGCTTCTGGACACAGACACCAAGAGCCAAGCCTCTTTCCACAATGGTAAGCAGGGTTATTCTGCAGAGAAGGAAAACAACGCTAGGCTAGAGGCCCCCATGGTATGAGCGATAAGGCCCGAGCACCCCGGACTTGGACCATGTATCGGGTTCTCCACGAGATTCCGTCGCCCACAGCCCATGACTGCTGAACCGGAATCTGGGAATTCGTAATTCGTGAACAGGCATTTCGGGCTTCACGTCTCACTCAGATCGGGGGCTCAACATCCCGTTGGCCTCAAGTGTGATTATGTATATAATGGTTTTGACGATCCAGATCTTCAGCATGTCCCAGAACAGCAATTCCAACAGCTTCGTCATCATCAGGACACTCCACAACAATAACAGCAACAAAAGCCTCCTCCAATTTCTTGATTATCAATCAGTCAACACATCACACACTCTATCTCCACAGCCACTCACATTTTTCACTTCCTAAACAACAATGTCTCACTCCACCCAGAACGAAGTCCTCGACGTCGCCATCGTTGGCGGCGGGATCGTCGGCGCCGCTATGGCCATCGGCCTCCTGGCCCGCGACATCAACGTCACCATCTACGAGCGCAGCAACGCCTTCAGCGAGGTGGGCGCGGGCATTGGCTTCACCCCCAACGCTGAGTCGGCCATGAAGGTGCTCGACCCGGCCATCCACGCCGCCTTCAAGAAGGTCGCCGTCCAGAACACCACCGACTGGTTCACCTGGTCCAACTCGGGCAACCGCGAGGAGGGCGACCTGGACGAGCCCATCTACAAGATGTACGTGGGCGAGCGCGGGTTTGAGGGGTGCCACCGCGCCGAGTTCCTCAACGAGATGCTCAACCTTATCCCCGAGAACCGGGTCAAGTTCCGTAAGAGCTTGGTTGCGGTGGAGGACCGCGGCGACGACAAGAAGCTGCTGATGCGCTTCCAGGATGGGACTACTGCGCAGGCGGATCTTGGTGAGTCTAATCCACCCCTGAAAGCTTCTTGAGAAGCAATGGCTAATATTATTATGCAGTCGTCGGTTGCGATGGAATCCACTCCAAGGTTCGCCGCCTCGTGCTGGGCGACAACCACCCGGCCGCCCACGCCGGCTACACCCACAAGTACGCCTTCCGGGGTCTGGTGCCCATGGAGAAGGCGCTGCCGCTGCTAGGCCACGAGCGCGCCTACAACCGTCACATGTACATGGGGCCCGGGGCGCACATGCTGACCTTCCCCGTGGCCAGCGGGCTGCTGCTGAACGTGGTGGCGTTCGTGCACGACGAGGCGGAGTGGACGGAGGAGAAGCTGACGACGATGGCGACGAAGCAGGAGGCGGTGAAGGCGTTCGAGAACTTCACCCCGTTCACGCGGGGGATCATCGACCTGCTGCCGGAGACGCTGCACCGCTGGGCCATCTTCGACATGGCGGCCAACCCGGCGCCGACTTATGTCAATGGGCGGGTGTGCCTGGCGGGCGACGCCGCCCACGCCTCGGCGCCGCACCACGGGGCCGGGGCGGGCATGGGCATCGAGGACGCGGCCGCCCTGGTGGAACTGCTGCAGGCGGTGCACTCGCAGGCGGCCCGCGCGGCCTGCCCGCACAGCCTGCCGGAGCTGCTCTCGGCGGCGCTGGCGACCTACGACCACATTCGCCTCGAGCGCACGCAGTGGCTCATGCAGACCTCGCGCTTCGTCGGCGAGATGTACGAGTGGCAGCACTCGCGCGATCCCGCTCAGATCTGCCACGAGATCGACTCGCGCTCCCGCCAGATCTGGAGCTACAACATCGACGAGATGATCCGCCAGACCCGCCAAGACTTCACGCGCCGCCTCTGGGCCCTGCACGCCCCCGTCTCCGACAACACCCAGATCAAGTTCCAGACGGGCTTCCTGCAGCAGACCCCCGTAGTCGACCGCATGCTGTGTACCACCTTGACGGTGTGACTCCACGTGTTTCATTGTGTTTATGACTGGGCCCGGCGTTCTTGCTCCTGTTCTTTGTCGATAGATTTTTTCTGGCTTCTGTTAGTAATGATAATACCACGGTTTCCCATCTGAGATAAAAGCATTCTCCATCTTCCTGGTTTTTGTTAGGCTTGGTAGAGCAGTAGCGACGACAACTGACAGCTAACAAGTACACTAGTGGATCCTGAGGGAGGAATAGTGCCACGCTAATGCAAGTAAGCTGTTGTGCTGAAGAGAGATTCTGGGTCTGAAAAATCTCCGACCAAACCCGATTCCCGGACTTAAAAGCTGTCAGGCTCTTATGTCAGCTTGAGGAGCTGGGATTGCGGAATTGGATTAAAGAGAGCCAGACCCGTGATGACGCGGTCCAGGCTTGGAGTAGCCTGGTAGTATAGCAACAGTGTGCCCGCGGCGGCTCACTCGCCTGACAGAACTACCTTAGTTCCTAGACTCAATCAGTCAACGAACGAGGGTAATCCGGGCAGATCCGGGCCGGACTTCACTCGGAGTCTGCTAGCTAGTTACCTACATGAAACACTTCATCGCCAACCAATTATACCTACAGCCCTTCACTAATTGATCAGAACTATAGGTGCGCCGAGAATGTGCGCATTCGAGCGGGGATAACTTGACTAGAACTGAATTTCGCCCTTTTTTTTTTCTCAAAAGATTGAAGCTATCTTTCTTGAATCGAAAACGCGAGCCTATCACTATTTTATACATAGGGAAGATTTCTGCGTGGATTAACCTAGACTTTAAGCCATACCTCCAGGGTTAACTAAGATATGACAATTAATTTCATTCTTTAAGGCTCTTGATGTAGTGCTCAATACCTCATGTCGATTTAATTGGGTATGTATATATATGTAAATGAGAATCTACTTGTGCATGGTCACACAGGTTTGGGAGTCTCGTAGTGACAGAAGAGAGCGTGAGTCTTGCTTGCAATATAAGGTCCTTCATTTTCCATTGTTAATAGTACAGGGGTTCTACATTCTGATTCCCGAGGAAACAAACCTAGAAACTAGATCAAGTAGACAGTCACACTCTCATTGGATTGGTACGGATAGATCGACGCACTGTAGCTCTCGTAGTAAAACTCCGCAGTCCGCTTCTCTAGTCTTGGTCTATACAGCGTCAAGGCAATATATAGGGAACCGCGCCACCCTTCCCAGTCGCGAACATTCCAAGTCGTCAGTCGGAAGAAAAGGAAAAAAAAAGAAACCAACAAAACAAATAAGAGATCCATTGTTCATCAAAAATCATCATCATTGGGAATAATACAACAGACAGCCCTCCCCGGAAAATACCCCAACTCCAACTCCATATACACGTAACCCGAAAGAACCCCATATCGAACACCCTACCCATCGCCAAAAAGCTCAATCCGTCATTTTCAAAACCGCAGAACCAAGGGTATCATTCAACTTGTGTCGCAGCGCCGACTCCAATATAAAGCACATGGACTGGTCCGCATCCGTGGGCGACGCCTCGCGCCGACAGTACGACTGCGTGAAGCTCTCCACCAGCCCGCGCACCTTCTCCAGGTCGTTCATGACCATCTGCGCGACGATGCGGCGGTGGTCGCCCTCGCTGAGCTCGAACTGCCCGATCTTGATGGGCAGGACGCGCACGCGCGTCGGCGCCGTGGTCGGCTGCATGAATGCCATCTCGGGGATCGCTTCGCAGCCGTCCAGGATGGCTTGATACCAAATCAGAACTTTGGAGATGGCCTGCGCGATGAGCGGCGCAAAGCTGAAGTCTAGGGAGCAGGGGCAGCCGATGACGAGCGAGAGATTGCTCATGGCTTTTTGATTGAGATGCAGGACGGCGTCGAGGCTGCGGGGCGGCGGTGCGTTCGAGTTGAGGACGCATTTGTCCGACGGCGGATGGAGGGCTTGCAGGGTGTTGAAGGTCAAGGTGATGCAGGATTGACCATGGAGGGAGGAGATACTGGGAGAAGGGGACGAGGTAGAGGATGGCGAGCTCGTGGACAGGGAGGACAGGCCGGTCTGGATGCTGGATTGCGAGCTGGATTGGTGGGGAGTGACTTCGAGGACCGGGGTGGGTTGCGGGGTGGTGATGTCTAGCAGCCGCTGCAGCTCCTGGTCCATCGTGTGCCAGTCGTCGATGAGCTGGAAGTCATTGTGTCCCACACTGGTGGGCGGGTTGACGAGGAGACGGTCAGTCGCAGAGTAGTCGTTGAGCTTCTCTGCGATGGCCTCGAGGTCTTGATAGCCCAGTGTGTTGAAGAGGTCGATGTGCTGAAAATTGTTGTGGTTATTGGGGTCCGCCCGGTCGGGCGAACTATTTTGGGTGTCCGTAACGGGGGTGAGATTGCCCCCTGGGGGGATCTGCGACAGACGTCGCCGCCCTCGTGGTCGGATGAAGCCGTAGTTGCATGGCTTGTTGCGCGCCACACATCGATCACATCGTGGATGCTGCTTGCCACAGCGCACTTTGGATTTGGCGCAGGCGTCGCAGCTGTCGCGGGTCTTGCGACTCGGAGGCAGGTCACTGTTGATGCTCTCCCCCTCCTCCATGACACTCATGGTGGAGGTGTAGGGGGATGCATGGTCAAGTGTAGGTGACCGTATCATATTGCATCCGGTCTGTGTTTGGATATTCGGCATTTCTTGTTGTGAACGAACTATACAGGTAAGAGTACTTAAGTATGGCTCATCGCTGATCGAGGATGGGGTCGTGTTTCCTGCTAATCCCGTCCGAGCACGTTGCAGGGACGAGGCTCGAGGTGTTACAGAGAAAAGAATCCGATCGCATGTTGTCGAGTCTGTCTGGTAGAAATCCGAAGCAAATTCCTGTTGAGATGTGGAAACACCGGTGTTCACACAGAGAGAGCAGCTCCAAATCCGAGCCGCCAAGACTGGGCGATCTGCCCTCTGAATCCCGTTCCAACCCCGGCGGTGAGCCCCCGTCGACTCTCCTGACCGCTTCCAGCTGCATTCTGCCGCGCATCCCATCTATCCCTGGAAATGGGCATGCTGCGGGCCCGCTGTTCTGCAGTGCTTACCCTTTCGGCAGTTGCTCTTGACCCTCATATCAGACGAGTCTCCCCCGGTTGGGACTGATAATGACTCGAAAGTCTTTGAGACCATCTCACTGCGCTATACAGACACTCATCAGGTCTCTGCTCTAATTCACATCATCTTTCGACGTATCTGTTTTCTTGCTCCGGGTTTCATCACATCTTTAGTTTGCATGCGTACCTGCAATCCTAAAACTTACCTCAATTGAGTTGCATCCAACTTTCAAAAGTGGCTCTTGCATCACTGCGACTGTTCACTACAAGAGTCAACAGCATGCAACAGGCTGACGCATCGAGGGAAGTGGAAGCTCAAATAGAGGCAACGGCTTGATGCAAGCGTCCAAGCGCCCCGACGCAACACCCGGCTAAGGACCGAGGTCGGGACCCGAGACGGGCGCCACAGCCCGCATGGCGCCCATTCCTGCATTATGGGCCTTTCCAGCCTTATTCGGATCCCAGCCCCCTTGCTAGCATAGCATTGCCAATCAACCTACGGAGTCTTTCCACTCTCCACACATTCTGGTCGTGCTTTCAAGCTCTTCACATCCACGTCTATCCCCAATATGGCTATCGATGATGAAGCGACCGTTTCCACCTCATCCTTTGGCGCTAAATACACCCTCTCAACTCTCACCAATGCAGTAGCCCTATCGGAGTTCGATGCATTAGTCCGCCGCGGCCTCGTCGTCTACTCTCCCTCCAAGATCGTGCGCCTCCAAGTTGACCACTTTCACGTACACAACCCACCATTCCTTCTCCTCAAGCTTCACAAATCTAACCCCAAACCCAGTTCGAATTCCGAATCAGCCAGTCTCTCACCAACAAACCCCAATCTGGCGAGGGACTGAAACCGCCCAACGAAAACAGAAACAACAACAGTAGCAGCAGCAGTAACAACAACAATGACAGCAGCAACAATGATAATAACGATGCACCGTCCAGCCCAGCAACCTTCGGCCCCGGCAGTGACCTCGCCTGCCCCACGCCTGACCTCATCATCGCCACCATCCACACGACCCACATTTTCGTCCCGAACGGCTACAGCGTCTTCCGGCCACAGTTTCTCCTCCTCACCCAGGACTCCTACCGGCGCCAGCACGAGATCTTGGACCGAGAGGACCTCGACGCCGCGTGCGCCGTCCTCTGTGCGCTGGGTCAAGACGGTGGTAGGCGCTACTTCGCCATGTTCAACTGCGGGCGCACTGCGGGCGCCAGTCGGCAGCACAAGCACATGCATATCATCCCTTGTGCTGGTGACGAGGAAGAAATAGATCGAATATTCGAGCTGCCTACCGTAGGGAAGGATATAAATGGGGATACTAAGGCACCGGGATCAACCATTCTGACGAATAATCCTGCCCCAAGACCCAGCGACATTCCCTTTGCGCATTTCCGCGTTCCGTTGTCCCCCTCCAGGTTTCAGGACCAGGCGTACGCTGAGAGTGTGTTGGACGCGTACCTCGGGCTTCTGGCGGAGATGCGATCCGCGTTGGGCGATGGAGGCGAAGGCGATGGGGAGACTAATATCCCGCATAATGTGATCCTGGTCGAGGATTGGATCATGGTGATCCCCCGGTCGAAGGATCGGCACCGGCCGGATATCGCGGTCAACGGGGCGGGGATGGTGGGGTCGGTGTGGCTGGATCGCGAGGAGATCCTGTCGCGCTGGTTGGAGATTGGACCGGCGGAGGTCTTGCGCGGGGTGGGCTATCCTCCGTCGACTTAGGGTAGGTTGGCTCCACTAGCCAGTATGTACCTGGAACGGCTCCGGCCGTAGAGTACTTGGGACAGAGTGGACTCGCTTAATCTGCAGTGACTGGGGTAGATGGCATCTACCCAAGTTTGATCAGTGGATCTCCCCTTGAAATCCGAACTCCGGCAAAACGTGGGATACCAATATTCGATTCAGTTTTGGTATAACAAAATGGAATTGATTCGCAATCTAAAGGCTTCATCAAGGAACAAACCGTAAAACGCAGAAGAAAAAAAAAAGAAAGTCTAATTACAAGAATCTCGCACCTCCCATTCTCCCAGGGAAAAAGATTTACAGCTCCAAGCAGAACCGGTTAAACTCCTCATCCTCCAACAAGCAATCCATCTCCTCCTCGAACAGGTTCATGGCCAACTCAATGCCGCCCTTGCTCCGGCGGGGCAGGATGAACGAGATGCGCGCGACGTCGTTGAGGGGCCCGTTGAAGCAGCGCACGGCCTCGGGCTTCCCCTCGTTGCCGAACCGGCGGGTACCGAACTGGATCGAGTCCACCGGAAAGAGGAGCAGGTTGGAGATGAGCATGTCGGCGCCGGCGGTGCGGCGGAAGCGGGGCTTGAGCTGGGCGAAGTCGCTCACCCCCTTGATGAGGGCGTAGGCCTCGTGCAGGCTGGCGCTGTTGACGCGGCCCGCGCCGGTGCGGATGGCGCGCGCCACGCGGCCCAGCGGCACCGCCGGGTCCAGCAGCTCCGCCACGGGGATGGCGGATTGGTTGTAGAAGGTGATGTTGCCCAGGTAGCTGGGCGGCACTGCCTGCGAGAACTCCATACGTCCGTCGATCGCCGATTCTAGGACGGACTCCTCGTCCAGCGTGTCGTCGGCGGCCGCGGCGCGCGCCCGCACCAGACTGCGCCACATCAGGGCGGTGACCACGTCGTTGCCGGAGAGCGGGCCGGTGGTGCTGCTTTCGTCGGCCGTGGAGGCTTCGCATTCCTTCTGCAGGGCCGTCATGTTGGCGGCTGACATGTAAAAGGTCCGGTTCTTCATCTGGCGGGGCGGCTTGGGGTGCTCGTTGCCAAACCAGTTCTGGAAGTCGATGGGGGTTGTCGAGCCCTCGCTGGGCCGCAGGCCGACCAGGCCCCGCGTCCAGGCGTCGGCGTCTTGGAGGGCGATGGCGCCGGATTTGGGCGGCACCCAGAGCTTGTCGAGCAGGGTGCGGTCGGAGCTCTCGGCGGGGAAGGGCTCAATGACTTCCGAGGGGTCGAACACGCTGCGGCAGTTGTCGGCCCACAGCTTCATCACAGTGACCATGGCGGTGCCGTCGATGGCGGCGTGGCAGGTCGACATGCACAGCACGCAGCCGTCCGGGATGAAGTTGGCCTGCGCCACGAAGACGTCGCACCCCGTGTCCAGGTTGCCCTCGATGGGCACGTTCAGCAGCTCCTGGTCGTCGTAGGCGTCGCTGGGGAACCCCTCCTCGCGCAGCTCGGCGAAGGTGTAGTCCGATTCCAGCTCGTTGAAGCGCAGCTGGTGCGGCAGCGGCCCGTCCACGGGCGCGGCGGTAGCGGGATTGTACCGCAGTTCCCGCTGCCCCGGGCGGTACCCGGGCGTGTCGGGGGTTTGGCGGAACACTTTCCCCCCGAGCCAGGGCACCTGCACGAAGGTCTGGTGCAGACCCTTGCCTAGGTCCTCGAAGACATCCAGCGGGGTCGTGCCGGGTTGCAGGGAGAAGTAGTAACACAGCTTGACGTAGTTGGGCCGGTGGAGGTGGTCCAGGACGTTGAGCGGGACGTGGACGGTCTCGGACGACATCGTTCGGGTAATTAGCTGTGGATGGTGGATATGGTTGGGTGTGGAGGGGTGGGATGGGATGTCGCTAAGAAAAAAGTGGTTCGACGTGTCTTGGTCCGTGGAATGTTGCTTGTCACCCGCCTCAATTTGCCTCTCGCTGTGATGGTGGTTGTGATTGATGTTGATGGTTGCATCTTCTTCCCATCGAATTAGGGCTTATATAGATGATGTGTGTCCATTGTGAATTGAACTACCCTCACACCTGTGGTGTCGTAGAACCTCGAATTCAGGTCAACTCCATGTCGGGGACAGCAGTCAGTCGGGATCCAGAGTCAGGATACTCAGGACTAGAATTGAGTCAGATCCAGACTAGTGATCACGCACGCGCGACAGGGCGACCATCACGAGATAAAGTAGGGATAAGCGGCGACAATCGGGCACGAATTGGCCCGTCGCTGACCGGAACAGGAAAAGCCATGGACACTTTTGGGGTTAGTCATCCAGCTGATTCATGTCGAGCTGATGCATTGTTTGACACCAATCACAGTGCTTCGAATGGCCCCTCCAAAAGTGTCCGAGAGTCCGACGGAGAGTCCGACAGTGCAGCAGTCGGGCATTTCACACCGCTGTCACTGGTCGGCTTTCACCCTTTCCAATCCCGTTCCGGTCGATCTTCCCATCACCCACTGTACCTGACTTGTAGCCCATTGCAAACCATTCCCAACTCTATCAATCCGTCTCGGCCACTTTACACATCACCAGGTTACCAAGCACAGGGGTCTTTCAGTCTGTATATATTTCCTCCAAAGTGACGGCTTCTCTCCTCAATATGTCTGACCAGAGCATTTCAATCATACCACTCTCATCATCATTATCTACTTCTGATTATCTGATATCCCAGATAGCCCAGATATCCCAGATATCCCACTCCGCCCGCGCGCCTTAACCCTATACTATGGCGACCCTTCGTCAGTATATCAACCTGCGAGATGCGGCCAGGGAGGATGTGACCAGAGCCCACACCTTACCTGACGGTGGCTCATCCTCCGGCACCTCTACTCCGGACGAGAAGGAGAGGGCCCTCATTCCTGGCGTGGAGCTATCTCGCCCCTCTGAGAATGATGGCTCCGTCATCTACGTTGTTGGCTGGAAGGAGGGCGATCCCCTCAACCCTCAGAACTGGACCCGTGCCAGAAAATGGATCTGTACAGCCACGGTCTGTCTGATCGCCTTGGCTGTCAGTATCCCCGGTACCATCGATGCTCCCATTTCGGCTGCTTTCAACGAGAAGTACCACGTCGGTGAAATCGCCGGTACCATGGTCACTGGTGAGTTGTTGACCCCTTTCCACTAATGCAGGGGTTGAGGCTAATCGTCACAGGAATGTACCTCATTGGTGTGGGTGTGGGTTCTCTCTTCGCCGGACCCTTCTCGGAGACATTTGGCCGCAATGCGGTTTACTTCATCACCCTGATTGTCTTCATGCTGTTCATCCTGGCTAAGGCCTTGGCGCCCAACTATGGTGCCGCCATTGTCTTTCGCTTCATCCAGGGCTTCTTTGGTGCTGCCCCCTTGACGGTCGGAGGTGGTACTGTGGGTGATATCTGGGGTCCTCTTGATGTCACCTTCAGTCTGCCATTTGTCACCATGGCCTCGTACTCGGGTCCTATCCTCGGTCCTATCATCGGTGCCTACATCCCTGCTGACAAGTCGAACTGGACCGACTGGATCTCTCTCATCATTGCCGGTGCCGTGCTTGTCTTTGTCGCTATGTTCCAGCCTGAGACCTACGGTCCCACCTTGTTGTCATGGAGGGCCAAGCACCTGCGTGCTGCCACCGGAGACTCCCGGTACCAGGTCGATGAGTCTGCTTCCACCAGCTCGCTGGGCAGCCGTCTCCTCGTCAACGTCTACCGCCCCTTCCAGATGACCATCACGGAGCCTATCGTCCTGCTCTTCTCATTCTACCTGATCCTACTGTACATTGTCCTGTTCACCTTCCTGAACGGCTTCCCCTTCATCTTCACGCAGACCTACGGCATCTCCAACTCGCTCACCTTCATCATCTGGGTGGCCATGTTGGCGGGTGACGCTGTCGCCATCTTGCTCATCCCGCTGATCTACGGCTGGACCAAAAAGGCGGCGGTCAAGGCTGCGACCAACGGTACCGCTCTGCAGGCCGAGGTGTCTCTGTACTGGGCCATGGTTGGTGGCTCTTTCTTGATGCCGATCTCCTTGTTCTGGATGGGCTGGACCTGTTACGTAAGTATCCATTCATTCCGCTTATGCAGCGTATATCCTGACTAACGCATCCCAGTCCGACATCAGCATCTGGTCCCCCATCATCGCGACCTTCGTGTTCGGATACTCCCTGGTCACCATCTTCACGGCCACCTACCTGTACATTGTCTTCGTGTACACCGTCTACGCCGGTTCTGCGCTGGGCTTCATGACCTTCAGCCGTTATGTCATCTCGGGTGCCCTGCAGCCCGCCTCGATCCCCATGTACCAGCACATGACTCCCCACTGGGTGCTCACGCTGGTCGGTATCCTGGCCACCATCATGGCGCCCATGCCCTTCCTGCTGTACAAGTACGGCCACCAGATCCGCGCCATGTCCAAGAACGTGCAGAACAAGGCTTAAACAATGATCTTCGAGCACAAACGCAAGACCAAGAGTGCGATACACACAGCAGCACAACACCCCGACAAGCGAGCGCACCCACTCCAGCGCACCAACCACACCCGACCTATCAAGTTCGACTTGACTACCTGGTAGAAAGACATACATAGACCGGCGACCGGCGATTGGGTTCCCCAACTCCCGACCGTATAATTGGCGAATTTCCCTTCTGAGACAACCCCCTTATTTGTTTTGACTGTTTTTTTTTTTGTCTTTGGTTTTTGATTCCCTTCTATCATGCATATATCCATGTGCGAAGAGCAAAATGTTGGATTCTAATTTTCTACAAGGTGACTGAAATTTGATGTGGATTGATCTTTTTTTTATTGATGAAACATGACCCGCGATGAGACACTAATGGGCTTTATTTAATGAAAGAGATGGAATGAATTTGATTTGATAGATATACTTTAAATTGTTTGTGACTGTTTTGTGTATAGGATTTGTGTTCTTGATAGGAATGAGCATACTTTGAAGGAATCAACTAATTCAAGAGTATGCGCAGAGGCTCCAGGCTTAGTAGGGTTCAGGCCGGGGCTGGCGGGGGTCCTCCTGGAATGGGCGATTTAGGGCCAATATTTCAAGCAACAGTTTCGGCCTGATTCGTAGTCGATGTCTCGAGGAATGTAACGCGTTGGGACGGAACGTTTCATTTCATTTCATTTTACATTTCGTTTCAACATGACATTTCAGTCAATGTTTCAAGCGACATTTCAGGCTGGATCTCTCAGCATATCATTTTCAAAGGATCTTGTCTATGATTGTGAAAGTAGGCTGCTAGGATAATCTAGTAAGGGACTATTTAATAATGATTCAAGGATGATTCAACCTGGCGTTACGTTTCAAGCAACTTTTCAAGCAACTTTTCAAGCAATTTTTCAAGCAATTTTTCAAGCAATTTTTCAAGCAATTTTTCAAGCAATTTTTCAGGCAGAATTTCGGGCAAGATCTCAGGTAACTTTTCAGGCACCACATTTCAAGTGGCATTATTATACGCTGCAGCTTTTAGTATAGCATCTAATGCGACTCTTGGAGTAATTATCTCAGAGCTATTCAAGTAACCCGCTAGGACGGATTGGCAAGCAATAATTCGACAACAATTTCATGGACGATCGAACTTGACATCACAATTGCAAAGTTGTTGTGACGATTCAAGCGACATTTCAGACGGCATTACAAGCATTCTCCGGCATATTCATCGCAACTCTACATCACTTTGTATCCAAGCGATTTGAGAAGTGCTTTCATTGAGATTGATATAACAAGTCGAGAGAATAGAATACTTCAACGTAAGTGGTGACCTGTTACTTTGAGTACTACAATTTGTGAACAGTTCCATCTGGCTCTTCTGCCTCAGGCTGGAACGCGCGCCCGCCCTTGCCGCCTGTAACAAGAGAATCCAAAGAAAAAGGAACCAGATCCCTTCCTTCCTCCAACTTATCTATCTCATCTTCCATCCATTTATCAAGCTCGCTAACTCTTTTGTCTACTCTCTTCTGTTATTCCTCCTCCCATCTTCTTTTCTCCAAGTAGTATAACATAGCCATCACTAATGACGGATGATGCTCTCCTGCGGGAGCGAGCTGATCGCCGCCACGCGTTAGCCAGAATCGAGAATTTGATCAAAGACACTCCGAATATGCATGTTGACTGACCTGGAGTCGGTTGGCATCTGCCATCTGACCTTATGTCTTGAAGAGGACAATACCCAGGACCATCCGCGCTTCTTTCAGCCATACCAAAAGGAACTGCCTCTCCCCGAGAAAGAAGAGGAGTTGCTGGAATTTGAGCCCGACCCGGATCGCATCATGTGGGAGACTCGGGCTATGGAGCTCTTCCTCACTAAGCAATTCTACAAGTGCGGGAGATACGCAGCGCCAAAGTACCCATATAACCCTCCGCCTTCTGGTGGATATCGAGAGTATGTCATGCCTCCACAGCCATCTTAGCCTCCGATGGGACTATCCTCTGACTATTGTGACATACAGGATTGGGGATTACAAGCTCGGCCAACTGCTGGAAGCTGCAGGATTTAACTGGTATGCCGTATCAGTTACCGACTATTGGACGGGCAATTATCCACACTTCAAAGTCATGCTAGAAAGTGACGCAGTTGGGGATGACCGGTTGCTTCGCGGGGAGATCATGACCATCACCGATCTCATGGCTGTGAGGCTGAGAACAAAGTCGCTGCACCCGCATATTGTTGCCCCAGTAAGGACTATTGTTTCTCTGGTGGATTTCTACACACTCTTGCTCACCTCATGTTTGCCTCAGATCCTGGTGGTGTCTCTCATGGGTCCCCGCCATGCCCGCGTGCTCGAAGCGGAATTCGATGGAAAGACTCTGAACATTCGCGCTTCTAAGCTCTACGACTTCACGAAAAAGAACACGGATGCTGCGCAATTGCTAACCCGGTATTGGCTGGGTGGTGCTTGTGGATAGACTGAGATAGAACTGCCCTAGTTTCTGGTTGTGGAGTTCAGTGCAACATTTGGAGTCGGACCTCCTCGACTTTCTATGGCATGGTGGCGTCGCTATTGTTCCTTCCTTCTTTCTTTCTTAGTGGCTTTGACGAGCGTCGCTCCAACCACGACAGCTACAATCTGCCCGGCCAGCACATGGGCTTGGATACTGATCTAGCTGAAGCAAAGGCAGCATCAGAGTCGCAACAGCTCCTCCATCAGCAGAAATAAAAATGGTGGCCGAAGGCTACCATCTCGAGTCAAGTTCGAGTCCGCAGTACTACCTGCTGCTATGCCGTTGCACTGCGTACCGGTAGCCGACGAAGAACGGTACCTTTCCCTTCTATTTCCAGACCGTCGCATTCTAATCCGTGAGGAAGTGAGCGATGAGACGAATCCTTCGTACGGGCAATAAGCTGCATAACGTGCATACCTTGGCTGTTCGCCCCGAAGGTTATCTAGAGACTTGACTCTGGTTAACCCGAACTACAGGGTCTTTGCAATGAACCTTGGAAGTCCCATTGGTCTGGTGCGGAAGCGCGCGGGTAGATCTGACGATGGAAGAGCAATGTCAAGCCTTCTGGAAAGCATGGCGGGTTGGCATCTGCAGGGTCCGGTAGAATCCTGTGCTGGGGTTGATAACCTGGTACTAAGTGATTACCACAGAGCCTTGTTGGTACTGAGGCTACGGGCAATTTTTCTCTGGGTAGCCAATATTGAATTATCTTCAAGAATAGTGTTGGCATAGATAGGATTAGTAGGGGTCTCCAGGTTGAATAGCTAGGTGGGCGATGTTGCAGGCTAGAACTATGCTGCAGCTCGTGAATGTTTCAGTCCTGCCGAAACTGGGTCTGCAGATCGTGAAGATTACTGCATAGGATGAGGCCTGCAGAGTCACCAGGATCGTGGTAAACTAGAAGGGAGCGACCACACGTGGAGGGAGCCAAACCACGAGGGGAAGAGTCCAGATCCTTCACGGTGAAATTGGCAAAGAGTAAATAAGGTGGCGTTGTTGCCGGGCTCTCCCGCCCCTCCGAAGGATGAACTCGGGCATTTGCCTGTCCTGTGCGGCTCTCGATAAGCCACCCAAAACCGCCAAAAACCGCCAAAATAGCCAAAATAAGCCCCGACGTCCCGTGGCCGAGCCCTTTTCATCCTCCGACTTGATCTCCCACTTGCTCCATCGTCATGACACGGGTTTACGCTCCGCCGGGATTCACCTGTTTCTGCTGTGCTTGATTGGTTTTTCGTTGTATTTTTGTCGTATCTTACCCCATGACAGGGATTCAAATACAGTCCGCCTGAAGGATCTCACCATTCTCGTCGTTACGGAGTTTACCATCTTTTGAGACAGGAATCAACTTCCAGCTTGGCACTATCGAAGAAAAGAACAAAAGCATCATGAATCCCAGCTGCTTCTGCACGGTTTTCTCCTCTTCCCTGCTTCTCAACTCTAGACTTCAACCTTCTTCGCTAGTGTGAGCGTTTGGCCACGTTTCTTTCTTTCTTGAAAAACATTACCCCACTGATATGCAGATGCACCATGCCCCTCTGCAGGGACTCATTCACCCCGGCCAGCCTCAACACCGGTACCTGGTCCCCGGATGAGGACGAGAGACTCCGAGAAGCCGTTGCGCAGTATGGCACCCGCTGGGTGGTGGTTGCCGCGGCCGTGGCGACCCGCAATGGTGATCAGTGCGCTAAGCGGTGGAACGAGAATCTGAACCCCGATCTCGACCACAGTCCATGGACTCCACAGGAGGTATGTACGTGAGAAACGCAGTACTGCAGGAAGCCGAAGCACAAACCTCATCCTCCATAAGTACTCCGGCTAACTGCCACTTCCACAGGATCAACTTCTCCTGCAGCTGGTCGACATCTACGGCCGCAATTGGAAGTTCATGGCCAACAGTTTCCTGGGGTCTCGTGCCCCACAGGCCCTCAAAAACCGCTACTCGTTGCTGATGCGACGTTTGAAACGTCGGGGCTCGATCTCCAAGCAACCCCGACCGCTGTCATCCTCCGCTACCACCATTACCACCGCCGCAGCCGCTACAGACAGCGTCAGCAAGCAGCAGACCCCTTTCACGCCATACTTCGATCTAGGGATGGATCCCCGCGCGACGGGGATGCTCCCCACCCCAACCGAGGAAAGCAGCGGCGGTAGCGGCAGCACCTCGTACGCGAGCTCGCACCACAGCTCCATCTCCGAGGGCAGCAAGCCGACGACGCGTCCCAGCAGCCGCTCCAATTCCTATATGGACCTGACCAACATCTTCGGCACGATGACCGGCACCGCCTTCGGTGACGACGTGCAGTATCAGACTCATGACCTCTTCACCACGCCGCCCAGCACCACCGTGCTGGTCCCCGGCGGTGGGGACGGGACGACCGGTACGCACCACTCGTCGGACGCCAACCAGCTAGAATGGGAGGTATGGCAAAGCTTGATCGACCAGGGGTCCGGCGAGACGACCATCACCACCACCACCAATTCCTCCTCCCGAAGTACAACCAGCAGCGGCAGTGAGTCAGAGAAATCCACCCCTGACGCGGCCCCGGGCTTAGTGTCCACCCCGCAGCCGATGGATCTGACCACCGGGCTAGTAGCCCCGGCCAGTACGGTCCTGGATAACCACGGGGTCGAGTACTCGGTGCGATGTTCGCGGGCCAATCTCAAGAAGCTGATGCACAACCTCTGCGATGCGGCGATCTTGGAGACTAGTGCTGCCATGTCGGAGGGGGATCAGGTCACTCTGACTTTACATCTGAAGACTTGATCTTTGGTGTTTCTTTTTTCTATTGTTGTTGATGAGCTCATGATACCTGTTTATAGTCGTCAGATCTTGACTTGATTGCTTTGCTCTTTGGCGTTTTTTGTGTATGATATCTTTGGCGAGGCTTTCGTCTCGTACCTTTCATATGTTTGGTGTTGCATTCCAGATGAGTGTATCTGTGCATGAGGTTTATGATAGAGTATATACTAATCTTTCCTACGCTTGATTAATGATATTGAAACGGAGTGAGCGCTAAGCTCTGATAAGAAGTCGGCCACTACTGAAGCTGACCCCATCTTTACTTAATAAGGGTGACTTGCCAGATCAAAACACCGCTTCCCTGTTGCTGGCTATGGACACTACCTCATAGAGCACGTGATCTTACCCATCAGGTCCTAGGCAACACTCCAATAACGCAATGTCGTCATTCCGACCCCTGTCTGCCCAATGGCCAGTACTTATGTAGTAGATTGTCGGACGCCCGGAAAAAAATTGACAGGGGTCGGCTTGGTCTAGGTCCGCAAATGGCGCTACAAGAGCAACAGGTCTTCCCTTGACCACTGGTGGCTGTGCCCTCGGACTCGGGATCATGGTTGATCTGACTAATTTGGCTAGCTATGCCACAGAGGGAAGCTGATGATGCGCGCCGTTGACCAAGGCAGAATAAGACCAATGCAGAATCAGAGACTAAGGATCTCTACCATACCACTAAGGAGGGTGAACTTTCAATTTCAATTTTATATTATCATACTAGGCTAAATTTAAGAATAAGTAGATCACTATATAGTATCGAGCTACAAATAGATAGATAGCAGATGAGATTCAAAGAATCCAAGAAGAACCAACAAAAGAAAAAGGAAAAGGGAAAACCAGTGAGGTGCCAGTACATATGCTATGGTCATGCACGTGTGATTATCTAGTAGTCAACCAATTAACCAACACGCATTCAATAGTTTACGGACAGCGGAGGTGTTACATATGACCTAGTACCTATAACTTGGAGGAACCTTATATTTAACCAGCACGAATAGTACGAGACTAGCAACAATCAGGCGAAAAGCCTTGCAGCTGCATAGCGAAACCCGCATTCGCCGTCAGCAGGGAAGCAAGCACGATGCACGTACCCGGACTGCTCTCGACTGATCATCATTTAGAAGTGGAGAAGCCCACAGCTACAGAGATGGATTTGTTTTCGTGTGTGCTCCTACATTTCTGTCCCGCTCCTCCCCAGCGTGGATATAAATGTTTCCACGACCTCGAAAATGATAACCAGAAACATCATGTCATTTCTCTAGTTCCATCAGCAGCAGAGATTCGCTCTTTTGCGACAGACCTAACAAGAATGTCTCACTGGTCACCGGAAACGATCATCGCGCTCGTCACACTCATTGCTACTGCTCCTTCCTCGTTACTCGTGTTCTGGGATTTCTACGATCGTCATTATCGCCGCCGTCACTTCTCTCCGCAGCCCCACCGCCTTGGTTTGTTGGACCCATACTACTCTGGTTCCATTTCTACCAACTTTAAGCTAATTACCGGTATGTGTCTTATAGATCCAGTTCCCGTTCACCCAAGGTCTCCCGACTCTCGTACACAGCATGTCGCCCCGTCGGACTTGATCGCGTATCTACCACATGACGCACAATCTTATTACCTTCGAGACATTGATGTACAAATGGTTCGTTGTGGCTTCCTGTCTCTTAGTGGATGCAGGATTCATGGACGGTCGGGATTCATGGATGCTAACGGATGATGGTTGCAGCATATCCGGCAGTTGGGCGCGCATGTTGAGCGTTCTTAGAATCAGTCCTGGGAATTGCAATGTGTCGAGGATGTGTCGAGGAGCGTGAAAAATGGTGGATTCCTCTATCTAATCGTAGAATGACTTTGAGCGACCAAGACTGAGGTTTGATTGGGGGGAGAGGGGAAGCCACTGAGTGAGGCGGTGCGCACTGTGCTTCAGGTTCTTTCACTACTGGTCCCTGTGGGCACCTTTCGTCAACGCGCTGGACTGCTGGTGCCGCGGCACTTTCTGCAGACCACGGCGGCCAAAGAGCTGACAGGCCAACCAGGTGCCACCAGACACTCTGACACAATGCTCACGACTGACTCTTGGAACATACTGATAAACCTCTTTCTCTCTTATTTCATATTGTTTATTATTTTCGGGTTGAGTTGGAGGCCATTGATAGAAAGGGATATAAAACTGCATTGACTTAGATACTTTTGGGTTGTCGGTCGGGTGTGGCGTCTTGAGGACGGGAAGGTTATTACGGAAGTCTATGAACGCATGGTGTATAGGATAATATGGGATCAGGGATGTATCAGCGTATACTGTTTGATTATTTGCAGAGGGGGTGGTTATGATTGTGTGCTATGACTAATGACAATTGTCTGGATTTGAGGAGCAATTTGTGTGTCTTGGTGGCTGTAAGGACGAATTCGGCCGAATTCATCCGGGTCTCTCTTGAAGCCATTCGGACGATTCGTCCGGCTGTAGAAACTATATATGAGATTGAGCGTCCACATTACAGATTTTCCTCGATTTTTCGGTCACTTACAATCATTTGAGATCTTTTCGTCTCTTTACCTCTCCCCAATGCCTGACGCATCGCCAAGAAAGATTATTGTCATCCTCGGAGGATCGTACGGTGGCGTCTCGACGGCGCACTACCTGCTCAAACATGTTATTCCCAAGCTACCCACTCCGGACCTATATCAGATCATCCTTGTGAGCGCATCATCACAAGCTATGTGTCGACAAGCCTGTCCCCGTGCCTTGATCTCCGACGAGTATTTCGATCAGACGAAGCTTTTTGTCGAAATTCGCAGCATGTTCGCCCATTACCCCGATGGCAGCTTCCGATTCATCCACGGAACAGCGACTGCAGTGACGCACACTGCGAGAAGCGTTTCCATCGCCTTGTCCTCGGACGGAGGACATGAGACAATCGCATACTACGTCCTCGTTATCGCCACCGGCGCATCTACGCCCTCGCCCGCCCTCGGCCTCAACCAAGACGCCGTCCACCTCCGGAAAAGCTGGTCCGTTATCAGACAGACCCTACCACACGTCAAATCCATCGTGATCGCAGGTGGTGGACCAGCAGGGGTAGAGACAGCCGGAGAACTCGGAGAGCACCTCAACGGGCGCCACCGCGGCGGGTGGATGTCTTTCGGACGCAGCCCGAACCAGCCCCCGGACGTACACATTACCCTCGTCACATCCGGCTCCAGACTGCTTCCCGCCTTGCGACCGGCACTGGCGACCAAAGCCGAGCGGCTACTCGCCGACGTCGGCGTGTCAGTCATCAAGAACGCCCGCGTGCAGAGTGTCTATCCTGAGAATGCCGGTCAGGATGCAGTGGCTGCGGCGGTGACGCTGGAAGACGGGCGGTCGCTCCCCGCAGACCTATATATTCCTGCTACGGGCACGAAGCCTAATACCGGCTTCCTGGACCCAAGTCTCTTGGCTTCGGATGGTCGGGTTGAGACAAATTCGACCCTGCGTGTGAGGAATGCAGGGGACAGGGTTTATGCCATTGGGGATGCGGCCTCGTACGCGGCGCGGCCGTCAGTGCATGGGATTCTGCAGACTGTGCCGATACTTTGTGCTAATATCAAGCGGGATCTGGAGGGCGGAGGAGTAGGAGATGGTGACGGAGATTCTGTGTTCAAGGAGGATACACGTGAGACGCAGATCGTTCCGATTGGGACGGCTGGGGGTGTCGGAGCGATGATGGGGTATAAATTACCCGGGTTTTTGGTTTGGCTGTTCAAGGGGCGCGATTATTTTCTGTGGACGACGAAGAAGATCTGGAGTGGAGAGCAGTGGGGCTAACAAGCTTTGCAGATGCTTCTGTGGAGAGTTGAGTAGTGAATGAGTCTGTATTATTCGGTCGGTTTTTGTTTACTATGTACTTCACTTTAGCTAGTTACTGCCACTTAGAGTCTAGATCAGTCGATGTATAATTAGTAATCCTATCAGAATAACTGACCAATGCATGGAACCGCGGGTCTGTGCGCGTCTCCGCGTCTTTATATGCACAGCTACAACCCTTCGAATTTTCTCAACAGCTGACCAACCTTCAATCGAGCACAATGACACTGCGCTCGACTTAACTCCTCTCTCAATATAATATATCTGACTATGGTGACCGAGATGCGCGAGGCTCGCCGCACCGGGCACAAAAGAAAAGTCCGCAAAGGAACCCATAGTTGCTGGGAGTGTTCGTTTTGTGGGCCTGGAGCTTTGACGGATTGGCGCTGATTGCGTGGCTTAGGTCGACGACGGAAGATACGCTGTCAATTCGCGACGCCCAGTGACTCTGTCTGCGTCACTTGTAGTGCCAGAGGGACTCCTTGTGTTAGTCAGGATATCGTGGAATTCGACACTGACCGGCTACGTACGGAAGAGTTACCACAGCAAGACGGAGATGTTCTGGACCGTCTAAGAAAGCTGGAGGACATTGTTCAGAGCCTTTCTGGGGAGGCCAGGGGACTCTCTAACACTATAACTATCAATGGGAGATCTGCGAGCTCAGAAAGTTCACATCGACGTACTTTGCCGCCCTCACGAAGAGCTCAATCTAGTACTCACACGACGACGAGAAATGATGTCTCTAGTTTGAGAACCGTGGAAGAGACGTCCACGGGTGTCATGATGAACACCCGAAATATCGTGGCCAAGCCTCATTCATCCCAGATCGAAAGAGCGGAGTCCACGTGCCAGTATTTCAAGGACGAAAAGCTCCGCAACAAGTTGTTCGATCTCCTACCATCCATTGAAGTTACGTCGGCACTAGTGTTAGCTAGCCCCGGAGCAATACTGGTCTCCATGCTCTTCCACTCGGACCAAGAGATCTCCCAGGGTCGTTTCCAAAAGCTCACAGCAAGCTCCTTTCACCTTCCTAGAAAGAGCCACCCGATCGTTCTCGCGAAGAGGCTGCTGCAAGTGGCAATTTGCGTGCAGCACCTCCAACCTGAATGCGGTTATCTCTCTCTGGAAAATCAGATGTATCTGAAGGGCGCAGCTGCGGATAATGTCACCACCGTCATGGAGCTGGTGACATCGCGTGATGAGCTGGCTTCTTCCCTTGACGGCGTGGAATGTCTTGTGTTGCTTGCGCTGTTTCAGCTTAATGCTGGAAACCTGCGGCGGAGCTGGTTAACTGGTCGTCGTGCCATAAATATTGCACAGCTTCTGGACTTGAATGATGGAGTCCAGACGCAATCCCACACCTTCGATGAGACTGTTCCTCCTGGGGCGGGGATCTCTCCTCGGTGGCTCTGGTTTCGCGCGGTCTTTTTCGACCGATGTCTCTCGTTGTTTCTTGGTATATCCCCAGCTGTGCAAGACAACAACTTTGCCGATCTTTTGTTGGCAGACAACTACGGTCAAATGGAACGGCTTGAAGCGAGCCAAACAATTCTCACAGGACGCATCCTCGAGCGCAACGCAATGATGAAAAGGAAAGACGACAACGCTGCCTTTTCTTTGACCCACCTCATCGATGGAGAACTCGATGCAGCAGCTGAGAAAATGGGCTCAGAATGGTGGAACCTGTCTTCGATAAACACGCACGATCCGACCTCCAGCTCTCGTCTCTTGCTGCAAATTCACCACCACACGTTGAAACTATACCTTCATCTCCCTTACTTGCTCCGGCGTGAGCCCAGTTTTGGTGGCCGACACGGCGGACGCTACGACCACAGCCGCGCATCATGTGCCACATTCGCCCGGGCGAACTTGCGTCTGTTCGATCCGTACCGCACTCACCATCCCTCAGCTAGCGCCTGTCGCCACATTGACTACAGCGCGGTGATTGCGTGCATGACACTCTTGCTGGGATACCTGGCTGACCAGCCGCCTCACCTCGAGGCGGGCCATCACGACCCGGACGCGCAGCGGCAGGAAGATCTCAAACTCATCCAGGGTGTCCATGACAGGCTACAGCTTGTGGCCGAGACGTGCGAGGACACAATTTCCCGCGATTTTGCAGCTTTTATCGCACGATTAGTTCCAATCATTCGTTTCAGAGATAGTGGGTCGAGGACCAGTGAGGGATTTCCCCATGGAGAGCCGGAAAGTCAACCGATCACATTTTCTGTTCCGCACCTCGGAACTGTTTTCATCCGGCCCTGGGCTCTTGACTTCACCAACATCAGCATAGACCGGATCGTGGATTCGTTGTCGGAACTCACCCCTCAAATCAGCACTCCAGAACCGGTCTACTCCACAGACTCGCCTGTTTTAGGCAGCAGCAGCACGTCAAGATCAAGCGAGGAGCTACGACTACAGAGTTCTCTATCCGCAACAAGACCAGGACTTTCTCCGCCGCCGATCGAGAATACTTCTTTTATCAGTGCACCCGCCTACACATTTCAAGCAGATGCTGATGGTCGTACTACTGCTGAATTACCCGCAATTCCACTCTTGGATGCAGATCTGTCCCCCGAGTTCTGGCCTCTGCAGGGTCTTGACACGAACTTTTGGAACTTGTTACAGCAGGGGATGGATAATGATTATAACACCTGAGAATCTGTGTTATGCTGCACTTTGGTCTCCTTCTCGCGCTATAACATGTTCTCGATTGAGTGATGGTAATGATGGCCATTTTTAGTACAGTTGTGAGGAAAACTGGATTACTTGGGAAGGAGTATCGTTCAAGGTATAATGAATCATGTCAAGTCTCAGTAAACAATCTACGATTATATACTGACATAAAACATACTCAAACCAGAGGTCCTATGGTACAATCCAGGCAGTCCGCACTCCCTAACCAACAAGTTAAATGACACATCAAGAAATCATGAACTGTTCACTCCACCACTATCAGATTCAACGCGCTCCCTGCCCAGAAATATCCGATCTGCTCCTCAGTGAATGTATGCTGCAGTTCCGCTTCCCAAACCTCCCCTTGTGCTGAAATCACCTGCAGCGTCAAGTTCTTTCCCGGCGCCAACTCCGCCAATCCCCGGATGCTCACACGATCCGATGCGTTGATGCGATCATAGTCCGCTTCACAGCGCCAACATACCCTGCTTCTTCAGATTCGCCTCGTGGATCCGGGCAAACGACTTGGCGATGATGGCCACCCCGCCTAGATAGCGCGGCTGCAGCGCGGCGTGCTCGCGCGAGGAACCCTCGCCGTAGTTGTGGTCGGCGATGACCACCCATGGCTGGTCGTGGCTCTTGTAGTACCGGGCTGTGGCGGGGACTTCCTGGCCTTCCTCGCCGGTGAGCTGGTTGCGGATGGAATTGACCTGTCCCGTCTCGGCGTTGACGGCGCCGATTAGGGTGTTGTTGGAGATGTTCTCGAAGTGGCCGCGGTAGCGGAACCAGGGGCCTGCGGGAGTGATGTGATCCGTTGTGCATTTGCCCTTTGTCTTGATGAGAACGACAGAGTCATCGAAATCTTTGCCGTGCCAGGGTTCGAACGGGGCGATCCGTTGCAGGCGCTGGGAGGACGGCGAGATCTTGACCTCCAGGTTGTCTCGCTTGCTTGGGGGAGCCAGGTAGGCGGAGCAGGATTCTTTGTATCCGTCCTTGGGGAGGGCGTCGCCAGTGGGAGGTTATGATTCGATAGACTCGCCTGAGGAGTGGTGAGCGTGTCCACTGTGGGGTCGAACGAGAGATCTCCGGAGAACACCCTGGCCATCACGAGATCGGGTGAGGTGAGGAAGATGTGCGTGGCTGGGTTGGAGTCAAGCCGACCGGAGAAGTTGCGGTTGTAAGAGGTGATGATTGAGTTCGGGGTGCCCTATACACTGTTGGTTAGAGTTGGGAGATCGATGCAATACATGACAGAACGTACCTTGGGCATGTCGGTGCGGTCCCAGGAACCACAGCACGGTCCACAAGCATTGGGTAGCATGACTGCCCCCAGCTTTTTAAACACAGGCAAAATACTGGCATCCTCGATTGTGTCGCGGGTCTGCAGACTGCCGGACGAGATGAGAAGAGGCATCTTCGGCTGTAGGCCGGCATCGAGTGCCTGTTGGGCCAGATGCGCCGCACGTCTCATGTCTTCGAATGAGGAATTGGTACACGAACTAATAAGACCGGCGGTCAGTTTAGGCCACTGGTTCTCTTCAGCCGTCTGAGCGAACTTGGATAGTGGAGTAGAAAGATCCGGAGTGAATGGCCCATTGATGCGAGGCTCCAAGGTTGACAGGTCAATCTCAATCACTCGATCATAGTCTGCACCCTCATCCGCACGTAGTTCTGGCGCAATACTCCCCACAGCGCGAGCCATGTCACTGCGAAGGGTGGACCGGAGATAGTCCGCCATCTGGGGCGAGTAAGGCAAGATTGACGTCGTCGCGCCAGTCTCTGCGCCCATGTTGCACACCGTCGCCATTCCAGTTGCGGACAGCGTCTGGACACCAGGCCCGAAGTACTCAATGATTGAGCCTGTGCCGCCCTTTACTGAGATCAATCCTGCGACAGTACTGATGATATCCTTAGGGGAAGCCCACTGTGACAACTGACCAGTCAGCCGCACACCCAACATCTTGGGCGCTTTCAGCTCCAATGGCAAGCCTGCCATGACATCGACTGCGTCGGCGCCTCCCACGCCGATAGCGATCATGCCCAGTCCACCAGCATTCGGGGTGTGCGAGTCCGTCCCGATCATCATCCCGCTGGGGAAAGCGTAATTCTCTAGAACAATCTGATGGATAATACCAGCTCCCGGCTTCCAGAACCCCATGTTATACTTCTGACAAGCGCTCTCCATAGACTTGTAGACCTCGCGATGCGCCTCAAGCGCACGGGGCAGATCTTGATCCTCTCCGTCGCGGCTGACGATCAGATGGTCGCAGTGCACGGTTGTGGGAACGGACGCCGCGTCCATATCAGCCGACATGAACTGGATCAGAGCCATTTGAGCGGTCGCATCCTGACAAGCGATACGCAGGGGCCGCAATCGGAGCTGCGACTGCCCGCGTACAGTGGGTTTGTCGAAACTTTCATCGAGATGGCTATAGAGGACCTCTTCTGAGTATGTGAGGGGGCGCTTGAGGCTGCCAAAGCTAGCCGATTTCCCAATTCTCAGACATGCATTGTGATCTCTGCCTACCGACCTCTTAGGATTGCGACCTTAGAAGGAAATTGCTGCAGATCGACCGTCTGGTGTTTCAGGCGACTGAGTGGTGCTGTCGCATGCGAGGCGAAGCCTCGTGCTAGCTTGGCTGACTTGTTCAGTCGCGCGAGTCTTAAAATTGATGACATTGTCTCATTCTCGTGTTACTGGTGTCATATAAGAGCGCAAGGCGAAGACAAGATGCTTATGATCGTTGTGTACGCGGTTATTCATTTGCTTGGAGTTCGTGGTGATTCGTTCGTGAAATCGGATACATCCGTCGGCTGTTCCGATGAGCGGCGATTAGAGTCCCACGGGTGCTCTATCCCCCCTTCCGCTGTAATTGCCTTCTAGATCATTGACTGACATTCTGAATTGACCGAGAAGTCTGGACCGTTGGTGGCATCGATTCTCGCACCGAGATAGAAACATGAACTAGCTAGACTGTATCTGGTTATGGGTCTTATGCGAACTTGGCCCCATTGCGAGGTGACGATCCCTATTCTATGCTGTTCAAACGTCCCAGTTGGCGATGTAGGTAGGTCTGGATATATTTAAAAAACGGGCTTACGGCGAACCGGATGGGTTCCATTGGGACGCCTGCATAAGCAAGATGGAATAGCCAAGGAGCAGGAAATCGCGCAGCGGTCAGGTGTCAACGAAAAAGAAGGGGCAGCAAAATGGGCCCGTAGCCCTTAGGGCTTCAAGTTCCAGCGAGGTCCTACCAACTGGCCTGTGGTTTGTACAGGGCCCATAGAACCCGTAACACGGCATTTTATAGTATACGGTCTTGCTTACATCTTGGCATCGCTATTATCTTTATCATCTAGAGTCCATGCAGATAGTTAAGGTAAGACGAGAATTTTCTGGAACAAAACCACCCTGTGGTTCATTGCAGGAATTCGCTTTTTTAGGGGTGCTCAGCGACTTCCGTAGTATAATGTGTGCGTTTTCGTCCAATTAAACACAAATGCCATAGAAGCTCTCCGTATGAAGAGGTACAGAGTGGCAACGGATTTGGACCCCTTGCCCGGCGTTACAAAACGCTATTATCTGCGAGAATATTAAGCAAGAGGGAGCAAATCTAAGTTCTCTCTTGACTATTAAGTTTCTGCTATGCAATGTTAGTGCCATTGAGAAAACGGATGGCGTAACAAGTCTTTCAAGTGCAGGAATGCGGCGTAGCCACCAATCCTTGCCCTATCTATGCCTGCTGGTTGAAATCGTACGCATTACCAAATCCGAGGTTCAATTATTGTAAAAGAGCCTTAGACTTAGTCACCCAGTCCAACGAGACTTCTACGCCTGTCAGGTCCTCAATAATAGGCCGCAAATTATCTCCCAACTCGAGATTCATGGGGTTTCGGTACCACGATGCGAGATAACTGCCAATATGAGGGTTAGTTTTTAAGTGGACACTAGCAGCAATGAGTTACTCATTGCTAACATTACGCGGGGGATTTCAGTTTGGTTCCCCATGCCAAAGTCTCAGATCTCTTATAATAATAGAGCCTTTTGGCACAGTAGGCTGGCAAGGAGCACAGACAGCACGGCGCTTTTCAAGCTATATACCGATTTCATACCCCCACTAGCGAATATTCCTTTTACTGTTGAGTGGTACCAAAGAAAGGAAGTCGGCGAAAGGGCCGACGCCCGTCGATCTGTGGCCCGAGTGGGCGAGTGACGGGCCTACTGGAGATCAACCTTCGGGATTATCTCCGGAGACAAAATAGGGTCGTGGTAGCAGGCACCGATTAACCTAATTCTATGTTGAGCGGCCGTCCGGAGATGCAAGTCACCAAGGAGTCCCTGTCGGCCCTTTATTGCCTTGACACTGTTTAAACATCGCCAACAGTAAGTAGCCGTAATCCGGCCATCTAGATGGAAGGCTAAGCCAGTTTGTGTTCAAAGGACAGGATTGGAAAATTCAGTTTGAATTAGCGAGTGGGCCTCCTGTTCGTACTCTATCATATCGAGCCGCGCGCCGCACCTGTTTAGCATTCTATATCTGCTCAAAAGCCATACAGAAAGGTAAATAGAGAGCATTGATACGCAGTGTGAGTCCACGTGCTGCTGCCGGAACGTCGTGTGTGATGTCGGACCGGCCTGTGGTCCGCCCGGGTGACTCGCAATGTGAATGCGAAGACCTGCGAGCGCGCCTGGTGACCGCAGAGCGACGGTGCAGTGACCTGATGCAAGAGAACCAGCGACTCCAGGTGCAGATTTGGAAGCTTTCCAGTCTCCTGGACCGGCTGCTCATAAGCTCCGGACGCCGATGCTGTCCGTGAGGAAGGAGGCAGAGCATAGCACCATCGGTTCGGGGCCGCAGCCACAGCACATTCCCTTAGACTGCTTGGCCCCCCAATACTGTGAGCGCATTCTGCGTCCGACTTGTGCCAACCGACCTGGTATGCAGAAGGTGAATCGCAGCACGCTGAGTGGTGCCTGGGAATAAAGGGGTGACGATACGAGTGTCGAAGTGCCCCTGGACAGGGCGGTCGAGATCAGCCACGAGACGTATGTCAGCCTTGCTGAAGCCTTCTTCGATCGGCGGTGGCCGTACCTGCCTGTCCTACATCGGCCGACGTTCTGGGAGCAGCACCTCAATCCGTTCTTGGCACACCCCGAGGCTCGCTCCATCTCGAGGATTTTCGTCAAGATTGTGTGTGCAATTGCCGCCACGGAGCGGTCTTGCCAACTGAGTAACGATGATATGCATCAAAATATCTTCAAGGATGCTGTCAAGGATCTGAAGCTGATTATGAAGGCTGGCGATCTTGAGTATATCCAATGCCTGCTGCTGCTCTCGATATACGGGCACAATGAGCCGCAGTCGGTCAACGATCGCATGTACGAGTATACCAGATCCGACCAGGAAAACGGCTTCAAGGTTCATTGGGTGTCCGCGCGTCTCCAGTTCCTCTGGCCCGAACCATGTTGCGCTATTCGAGATCTCGTGACTCGCCTGAACAGCAGCCCGGATTCTGCAAGCCGCGGGCTTGGTGGGAATCCCGACCGTCCGCTTCTCCGTATTAGCCGGAAATGGGCAAGAGCTGAAAAATAAGCGAAGGAATACGAGCGAGAGCTCCTTTCATTCCGAAGGATTTATTTTGGCGACAAGAGCCCCCCGATTACCGGTAATTTACAGGAAGCGTACATTGCGGCAATGTGCGCAGGGGCGGCGGCTGGTGTGGGATCTTGGTACGCGCTACGTAACCAGTACGGCCCGCACCGGCGGGCCGGATTATCGGAAGACGGGGACTTGGAGGCAAATCAGCGCCCATTGCAACCAGTACGCACCGGTTTAGTCCCCCGTTGCTGCAGTAACTTTCCGGCCAAGTCGAATCAAAGTCGAAAGAAAAGTGGCCTTATGCGGAGTCAGAGTCAGGTTCGGGTTGAGTCTATGCTTGTTTGGGACCCGACGGGTGGGTGGGACATGGGACATTAGGCCTGGTTTGCTGAATACTGTATACATCGTACGGTTACTGATCCAGTTATCATGGGAGGTCCTATCCTCTTCGCGACCCCGCGTCTGATAAGATGTCTTGATTGCATTTTATCTGCATATAACCTGAGAAGAACGAAGTGATTTGACGTGCAGAATCTTTGATGAATTTTTTTCTCCCCAAGACAGCATGAAGTGCAAGAGCGATCAATAACTTATGTCTGCATGGAAGTCTCAATCTTGATTAAATCGACTTGCATGGCGATAATGAACGGCCAAGGAACAAAGATGACACAGCCGCAGAATCAGAATCAGAATCAGAATCAAAAGTCAAACAGTCTATAGGCCCAAGCGACAAGCAAAAAAGCAAGAGATGAAAACAAAACACCGAATGCCACAGTAAAACAAAGAAGATGGATTGTCGTCATGTTGTTGTTGTTTGGTTGCTCATCCCATCCAGCGCTTTAAACAGCAAGCTTGGTTCGCGACAACTTGCCGCCTGGGCCGTATCCCTTATCCGCCATCTCGATGAACAGATCCTCCAGGGCCTCCGGGGTGTCCTTGACTTCGTGGCCGAGCTCCCGCAGTCGGTTGATCAACTTGCTCGAGTCGAAGACCGGGTGGCACCGCGGCGCCTTGAGCACCTTGTGCATGTCGTCCAGCTCGAAGTTCTCCCAGTTCAGGGAGGGCTCGATGTACTTCTTCATGAGTGTCATGATCTGGTTGTTGGTGAATGGCGAAGGGGAGATCTGGTGACATGTTAGTACGGGAATGTTGACCAAGGTGAGAGGAAGAGAGAGCGCCACGCACCAGGTTGTAGATGCCAGTGTCACCGGCCTGAGACAGGAGAATCGCGCCGGGAAGAAGGTTAGGGAGAATGGTTCCGGACTGTTTTTGTGCGCGTCAGTCCACGAGTCTTTTTTTTTCTCTCTCGGATTGTGGAATTCCAAGCATACCGCCGGCAAGTTCACCAGCTTCTTATAGCTGATCAGCTTGGTGGTCAAGTTGTTGGGGTTGAAGTCGGCCGCGATCGGGGCGCGGATTCTCAAGAGGAGGAGGTTGGGGTAGTGCTTGATGCTCTGGATTCGGAATTTTGGTCAGTGGCATCCTCTTCATCTCTCTTTTTTTGTCCTGCAGCGTGACCCACATTCTCGCTCAACAACCGCGAGCACGAGTACCACGACCCGGCGTAGTTGGGATCATCCTCCTCGGTGAAGTTGGCATCCGGGGCGCGGGTCGGGTCGGTGTCATAGATACAAGCAGATCCTAGCTGAGTAACATGGATACCTAATTGGAAGCAGCAGTCGACTACGTTGAGCACACCTAGGATATTGGATCGCACCGTCTCGATCTTGTGGTCCTCACACCAGTCGGCGTTGGGGAGCCCGCGCAGGCCCGCGCAGTTGATCACCCGCGTGGGCCTGTGGATGGCGAGCGCACTGTTGGTGGGATGCTCGAGAGGTTAGCATTCTGTTGGAATCATTCTTGGCTTCTTTTGGTTGCTTTGATGTTGTTGTTCTTCTCTCTTTTGGTTGCTTCTGATGGTGGTCCCGCGGCGAGAATGGGATGACTTTGAAGAAAGAGGGAAAGGGGGGAGGGGAGGGGCTTCTTGCGCACGTTAAAACTTGCTCGCGACTTTCAATTCGAGCATCAGAGGAAACCACTTTCACGCCTTGCTTCTCCAGGAGCTCCTTGATTTGCGTGGCGATCCAGCCGGTGCCTGTGTTTGGAGGACAAGTAAGCCGCTGATCTTTGCCGAAGTAAAATTTATACAACACTGGGAGAGGGGGAACGTTCGCAGAGGTATATTACCGAAGATCAGGAAAACATGGGGCTGGTCAATAGCAATAGCCATGATGATTGAAACTGGGCTTGTTTTTTTGGGTGAGGGAGGTTGAAGATTGATTTGAATGAGGGGGAAAAGCGATTGATCGATCGGAGGTTTGATGGTAGAATGAGGGCTGTGAATGTGGGATGGGTTGGAATGAGTTGATCTGCTGTGGATGGATGGATGTTGAAGAGTACGAGCTGATCGGAGACTCTTATATTCAGTAGCAATGGCAATGCGAGGGCATCTTTGCCACTTGGCGACGGAGGAGGAAATGGCTAGCCTTGCCTGGTAGCTTGCGTAATCTGAATCTGTGTTGACTCCGGTGGGCACGAGTAACCGCCGCTAGATTGGTCGAACAGAGTAGAGATGACTGCGGATGGCAGGTTTGACTGGGGGTTTCTCTCTGGTTGAGGTGGGAGCCAGATGGATGAATTGAAGTGAGGTGAAGTTCAGATTCAAGGAATTGACTCTGACGTACTCGCAGGAAAAAAGGGTGTCAGACCAGCCCAGCCCAGACCAAGAAGAGCCCCTCAGCACGTGGCGTCGCCCTAAGCGTGAGCCCTAGTCTGTCCGCGGGGTATTCGCTGAAGATTCACCTCCAATTCTACTCAGAGTCATGCAGAGTCGACAGGAATCCCTTCCTGAGGCTGGACACATACTCAGCCCACGCTTATTCCCGTTGCTTGGGAGAACCGCATCAAAGATGAAGCCATTTTCGGTTATAAAAACGACCTGGATTCGGCCCCTACCCTGGGTTTTTTCTTCATCATCATCCAGCAAAACAAGCTAAGGCAAACAACAAATCCTCAGTCTCAGAAAAACATTTGCCTTCTTCTTCAGCTTCCAATTCAAATACAGCCTTCGTTCCCGTTTTCTTCTTGCAATATCTTCAACCTTCAACTTTACTTTACTCCACACATCAATCAAAATGCAGGCCAAGGGATTGTCTCTTAAGGTCGCTCAGCTCACCCCTCCCGAGAGCCCTCCCCCGGAGACCGTTGAGCTGGTCAAGCAGGCTATCGCCCCTTCTTTCGAGCCCTCCACCCACGAGGAGAGCCAGCGGCTTGTCGGTACTACCCGATTCGCCCCTCGCCGCGACATCAACAACATCCTGATCACCGGTGGTGCCGGCTTCATCGGCAGCTGGGTCACTCGTCACATGACTGTCCAGTACCCTGAGTACAACATCATCTGCTTCGACCGTCTGGACTATGTCTCCTCGATGGCCAACATTGACTGCCTGGAGTCCTTCCCCAACTTCCACTTCGTCAAGGGCAACTTGACCGACCGTGAGATCGTCGCTGAGACCCTGTCCAAGTACAACATCGACTGTGTGATGCACTTTGCCGCCAACTCCCACGTACAGAACTCCTTCCTCGACCCTACCAGCTTCACTGTCAACAACGTGGTCGGCACTCAAACCCTGCTGGACTGTGTCCGCGAGCACGGCCGCGTCGCTCGCTTCGTCCACGTCAGCACGGATGAGGTCTACGGTGAAACCACCGACGACTTCGTCGACGAGACCACCCAGTTCCTGCCCACCAACCCCTACTCTGCATCCAAGGCCGCTGCCGAGATGTACGTCCACGCTTACGCCAAGTCCTTCGGCATCCCCATGGTTATCGTCCGCAGCAACAACGTCTACGGACCCTGCCAGTACCCCGAGAGTCAGTAGCCCCGTTGGTACTAGATCGTTAACCCCAACCAGATAGCTAACTCCCCACCTACAGAGATCATCCCCCGCTTCTTCAAACTTCTATCCAAGAACCAGCCCCTCACCCTCCAGGGCAACGGTCTCCACAAGCGCCGCTACCTGTACGGCGCCGACGCTGCCGACGGATTCGACACCATCCTCCACAAGGGTGTCGATGGCGAGGCCTACAACATCGGCTCTGCCTTCGGTGTGACCAACCTCGAGGTTGCCATCCGCATGCTCGAGCTGTTCGGCTTCGACCCCCGCTCCGACTTCAAGGAGCGCCTGGTCTGGATCCCCGACCGTCCCCACAACGACCTCGACTACCGCGTCGACGGCTCCAAGCTCGAGAGCCTGGGCTGGCGCCAGAACACCCACTTTGAGGATGGCCTCCGTGCCACCGTCGAGTGGTACCGCAAGAACATCGACGTCTGGTGGGCCGACGAGCCCAACAAGACCGTCTCCGCCAGCAGCACCAACGCCGCCCACATCGCCGCCCCGGTCCACCAACAGCAGGCACCGATCAAGGTCAAGAGCGAGAACGCTCAGGTCACGATTACTGCGACTGAGATCACGGCCTAAAATCGAGCTTCATATCTCCACGAAGGAGCTCGCGGAGGAGAAGTATACTGCTAACCATGGAAGAAGGCTTATAGACTTTTCTTTTTCCCACTCACAGCCTTCTGAAAGAAATTCTGCCCTACTATAGATTGTTTGCGATACACACTGATTGGCGATGATTATTATTCGATTCTTACTCCTGTTCTGATCTTTGATTCTTGGTCATCTTTGACCTATTTTGGGCTTCCTTGATTTATGTCTTTATTGTTTGCGATGATGATCTGTTTTTGATTTTTGTCTTGGACTTGCCCCCTGCTGCCCTCTTTTTATCCCGGGCCTAATGATCTCTCCTATGTTGTTCATGTTCCTTACTCAAGAAGATTAGATGTTTCTGTAACAATTCAATTCTTATTCTTTGAGGATTATAATCTGGTTGGAGTCTGTAGCTTCTAGATTTTACGCACCGCTATTCTTCTCGTGTACTGTACCCTTCCTGGTCGGCTGAAATATACCTCACGAAGAAGTTCACTGATTATTGAAGGTGAGAAATATTAGACTTGATCTGTATAGCCATTTCGAAGTATTAAGAGAGTCTTCATGAATGGGGTTTATATATGGAACTGTCTATTCGTTGGGCTTTTAGTAAATCTGGGAGTTAGCTAGGTTGTGACTCAACTAGCCAGGGAGGGTATACACTCTTGCTTCCGAGTCGATACAATAATTATATTCCTGCTGGCTCGAGTGCTCAGATGAGCGATGAAATCGTCGGCTGTAAATAAATAAAATATGGTGTCTTTGGCTTGGTGGGATGTAACTTACTTCAGCCATGAACCAGAATATAGTTCTAGTTTTACCACTGGTCTGACCCAAAAAATATATACATATATATATATATATACTGAGCACGTATCGACTCTTGTAACTTGGGAATTTCTGCTCAAAAATAAACAAAGATGTCTCTAGTTTGTATCATGAAGCTGATAGACATGTAGGATCCAATTCAGTAGCTCAATCTATTCTAACAATGCTCTGTGAATTTGCAAGTACGGGTTCCAGCGACCGGAATTCAAGAAACAAGTTGTGTATGCTGCATAGGTACTATTTCCAGTCATCTCAAACCCCTACTGGCTATCACACTAAGCCGTTTCTGTATACTCAGCTATGCAGGATTGTGCAGGCTGCAGGGTGCCTCACGTGACCGCATACTGTACTTTTGACTGCCGAAAGAGGGAAAGAGGGGGCTCTGCATTGTCCAACTCTTCAACAACACGGCTTTGTTTCACTTTGACTCTTCAACAAATCAACCTCTGTCAATCCCCATTGTCCCTTCGCCACCTTCACCCCACGTTCAGGGCTAGATCCTGTGTCGGACTCAGGATTTGGTCAGACTCTTCCGAGCGGGGTTGAAATTCCTTATCATATCAACCCCGAAGTCCGCGCAGAGGAGCGGAAGGGGGCGGGGTTCTTCCTTATCGGTCCGTCACGGTGGAATAGTCTGACACGAAAGACACGAAGGATCTGAATCCTTCCTTCTGCACCTTTGCCATTCATCCTTCCACCATCGAGCCATCATCCACTATGGTCAGTCAACTCAGCCTGGGTTTGACTCGACTCAACTCAACTCCGACTCGCACACACGATGCCGTTCTGTCGGGGCCTCTTGGGAGCCGCGAATCCCGTCAGCCTCGAGAAACCTGCAACGATCTCAGGTTATAAAGATGCCATTGTAGTTGGCTCATCTACTATGAAAAACATCATCGATCATCATCGCATTCTAATTCTAATACTCTAATCATTTCCGCCTTGCACTCTCCGAAGAGAGCATCTTGAGACAATCAATTTCCAGCAGATTAGTCCCGACAATCATCAACCACCAATCAAAATGACTATCAACTCGTCGGCCAACGGAACCTTCGATTCCATCCCTGCTTCTGCTAGCCATGCTCCCAACAGAAGTGCTGCTGCCAATGCAGGTGCCCGCCCCTCCGAGCCCATTGCCATCGTAGGTGTCAGTGGCAAGTTCGCTGGGTCGGCCAGCACCCCGGAGAACTTGTGGAAGATGCTGGCCGCTGGTGAAGGTGCCTGGTCGCGCATCCCTGAGGACCGCTTCGACGTCAACTCTTTCTACCACCCGGACAAGGACAGGGCTGGACGCGTGAGTAACCCTTACAGTTGCCATAAAGAAAAGCATTCGGCGCTAACTATCCGAGACAGAACCACGCCATTGGTGGACACTTCATGGACGAGGATGTCGCCCTTTTCGATGCCGGTTTCTTCAATCTGCCCGCTGATGTGGCTAGTGCCATGGACCCTCAGCTTCGTCTGTTGCTGGAGTCTGTCTACGAAGCCATGGAGGATGCTGGTATCCCCATGGAGAAGATTGCGGGTACCGACACATCCATGTACACGGGCTGCTACGGCAAAGATTACCACGATCTGCACAGCCGTGATCCCGAAGCCATGCCCGCTCCTTTCCTCACGGGCAATGGTACTGCCATGCTTTCCAACCGTGTCTCCCACTTCTACGATCTTCAGGGTCCCAGTATGTCCATCGACACTGGTTGCTCTGCTGGTCTCGTCGCTCTGCACCAGGGTTGCCGTAGCATCCAGTCTGGAGAGTCCGAGTTGTCCATCGTTGGAGCCAGTACCACCATCTTGAACCCCGACTTGTACATCGCTATGTCCATGTTGAGGTAACACACCCTCCGCTTCATGTTCCTGGATAAAGTACTGACAGAACAATAGCATGGTTGGCGAAGAGGGAAAGTGTTATGCCTGGGATGCTCGCGCACAGGGCTACGGAAGAGGAGAGGGTGTTGCCACCCTTGTGCTGAAGTCTCTCGACGCCGCTATCCGGGATGGCGACCGCGTTCACGCTGTCATCAGAGAGACCGGATTGAACCAGGACGGAAAGACCCAGACCATCACA